AATATTCTTTGAACAATGTTGTCACAATGGTTATAATAGTTAGAAATATCGCATTAGTGACACCATCTTTTTCTTTAATTTGAAAAGAAAACTATTTATGTAAGAGCAATATCGATTGTAATACTTTAGCTATTGAACATTTTTATCTATGCAAAACATGCCAAAGAATTAATCAGTGAGGGTTAGTTTCTCAATTTAAACAATTAAAAATAATGAATTAAATAATGAAATAATCATTGGCAATGAATATGTCTAATGCAATCTTTTCTGTCTTTCAGTCGTTTCTATATTGTAAATATGGTAAAATATGAATAAATCTTTCGGAAGAACAAGTTAAAGAATGAAAAAAAATTAAGAATTATTCTGTTAGGTTGAGTCGAGGTTTTCTTCGATATTTTCTTTAATAAACCATAACAAGTTCAGAGGAGTGATCTGTTTATATACGATACTTACAAAATGCGGAGAATCGTTGTTCTTTTGCTTACTCATGGGGTAAAATATTTTTCAGTTAAGTTACTAAAAAATCAAAACATTATTAATATGCATATTAATGTGTACTTCACTTTTCTCAGGCATACTTTCAATGTAATCGTTTTCTCAAGCATGCACTCAAGTGAACACTCCAGCACAATGACCAACCAACTGAATTGAAACACATGCAGACCAAGATGACATCCCAACCATCCTTTGTGTAATAAAATCCTTACTTCATTAAATTATTAATGAAGTGAATGATGAGAAGATGACCGGAATTCTGAAAATTTGTTTTCATACTTCAAATAATATTTAATTGACCCATGACGACGCCCCTCACCTGAAATTTAGTCTCTGGTTCTGGCTTCAATGCGACGTTTTCTTTCTTTCGGAACTTTTCGCATTGATCCCCTCTGTGGTTAACCTCTTAGGTTTTCCTTTCGTTGAACACTCGAACACTTTCATTTAAAGGTAGAGGGAAGTGACATTTAAATAGCACGCACTCGGGAGCTCCATTATCAAAAAAGTCAGGTTTAACGAAGCTCCCATCGCTTCCCAGATGATCGCTGTCAATTTGCCTTACATTGAAATCCGAGTTGATTCAGCACGGCCACTTCAGTTTTCAGATTTAAAAACAGAAATAGAATGCAACAAGATTATGATCTACAAAAAAGTATTTGCAAGATTCTTTCAATATTTTCTTTGTATATTTTCTTAAATGGGTAATCAGAGAATAAAACCATCAAATATTTTAAGCAGTTCTGGCTTCGACTCTTAATATTTTTTTCTCAGAATGATTTATCTGTCAGCTGACTGAGGTGAGTGACCGTTCAAAGTCAACGTGTTATCGTTGGATTTTAATGGAAATTCTCTTGATTCAGAGAGTGGCGTCTTCTATGCGACGGGTTACGCAGTAGCTATCACTTTGGACTCTTCATTTAAGTTTGAAACCCTACAATAATTGGTGTTATTCGACAACAAATAAAATTGTACCACTAGCAATGCTTATATGTGGCGTATCGTTTGTTTCTTATCATAACATAGTTCCTCATGCCTGCTTCGAGTCATTGACAGTTTTGCATTAGTATGTATGTTGATATAAGGAAGAAGAATGTGTCGTAAAAACAATTGTATTCAAAACGTAGAACAATCTTTAGAACTGTTTTGTTTTTAAATGTTGCGCCTTCAGTTGACGCAATGCGTCTCCAAGCCCCGGGGGGCCTTGAGCGCTTTGCGGTTTCGCAGTAATTCCCCATTAATATAACGTCATATCCGTCTCATCTCGTCGCAGTCAGTTGTTAATAGGACCGCCAAGTAGCATCTCCGCGTACGCGCCCCTGCGTCACTACTCAACGGCCAGAATTGGGAAGGAATTAGGATAGGGCTTAGGGCACTTCATAGGGGTTGAAATAGCTCCTGTGAAGTATGCAAACTCGTTTTGTCGTGACAAATTTCACATGAGGTTCAACGGGGGTTCTACTGGAATCGAACTCGGAATCTTAGTGGAGAAAGAAAAGCGACTTCGCCACTGAGCCACATTAAGAATTTTTTTATTTAAAATTAAATTAAAATGGTGGATGATGTAAACATTTGTTGACTACGAGGTTCAATACGTAAACCACAATATATTTGAATTGCAAAAAAATCTGTTTTCTTTTGTTTCTTGAGTGTGACTACATACTTCTCCAGCAGGCGAGTTATTTTTCTATTCGTGTAACGTTAGCAAATATTTTTCTTTGATTTCCTTCGCATCTGAAGACCTTTAGAATGCTATGAATCTCAACTGAATACGAGACCTGCTACAAAATACGTGCGTAAGGAAGAACAGAATTTTGTCATCAAATTTGATTTTTGATTTTATTTATTTAAAACTTAGTGTTTCTTAACTTTCCTCTTGCTCATGTTAAAAACTGTTTTTCGGTTTTCCAAGGGTTATGTTGGATATTCTTGTCATATTTTATCTTTGAGAAAGATAAACTGTTATCTTGAAGAGTGATAAAGTAGAGCTTGGAATTGCTTTCTGTTGTCCGTTGATTTCTCCCTCGAAATGGTATCCGTAGCTTCACAGATCCTGTAATAATTAAGAATGGAGTGTCTTTATTGCAAGTGAGTAGATCTTCTTTATACTTGTTACGTACTTGTATTAGTATTAAAGTTCCTAGGTTTTTCCTATTTGTGTTTTGTATATTCGACGTTGATATACAATAAAAGTGACTACGTGTACTATAAAAGTGTCAATTTTTGATGCAAAATTGTTTGAAGATTAACGAATTTGAAAATATATTCAAATGTACATCAAGTGACGCAGAAAAGTTAGCTTTAACCATGAGGACTTCGCTGTCTATTAAATTTTGAACGATGAATTTAGTCACCCAAGTATTAACCTAAGATAATCAATAAAATTTTGATTTTCCATCACGATCGAAAGAATTAAAAACATATTTTTTGCAAAGATAGATAGAATTAACTGGCATAGGCCCGCACAACAATTTTTTGAGACATGGAGTGAAAAAAACCGAATTGGCAATTAGAAGTGCACGTGTAACATGATTTTTGTTTGTTTTATAACGGTATTGAAGATCTAGGGTCTATGATTTTTACATATTGCGTTCCCCAAAGAAGCTAATTGAAAAAGAGGAGTGTCAACGTATTCCACCTCTTCATCAAATATTATTCATTTTCAGTATACAGTATTTTGTCTATTACATCCCGACCCATAATATATCCCTTTAAATAATATTATACTGTGGGCGGTTTACAGACGCATAAACCCAAGTACCGTAATTGAAATATTACCCATATACCGTAATTGCCATAATGCCATATGTCGCGAGCCGGAATTCCATATCGCGACACCTGATTGTCTGAGAAGTTTCTAGGAAATAAGTTGCACTACTGCAGCATCCGAGTATATCACACGTAAACATAAAAAAAGAGACCTCGAAATGTTAGTTAAACAGTTTTATCAATAAATATGAAAATAAATCAAACGACTGCCCAAAAATAATTTGTTCGTGGCCATTTAGCTCATTCTCGCCGCGATTTCATGGGCTATACCGACAATTTATAGATTCGATAGGTTACTAAGTTGAGCTTTTAGATGTCTTCAGAGAAGTGTCTATTATAAGTTAATTGATGAATTTCTCGCTGATGGAAATTGTAAATGGAAGGTTCCTTTATTTGTTCAAAGACCAAGTTTCAGTCCTCATAGTGACATTGACGAGAGTTTCATTTGAGTGCAAAAATAGTGCCAATTACAAGTGAAAGATGTCGGGTCAATATTGCTAGCAATAAAATTGAAAAAGTGGGCGTGAAATTAGACAAACCTTCATACTACTATTTACATCGACATTGCGCGACTATTGACATGACATCGACATTGCGTAGCATTACTCGACTTTTTCTGTACTCTGTATGCTGTATACGGACGTATACGAGAACGTCAAATTACACTGTTTTGGTGTCAGGGACTACGCAAAAACTGATTTCCGAATACAATCTGGACAGAAATTATTCATTTCAACAGTACAAATGTTCACAATTGCTTACCCACTTTATACCTATGAAATTGAGAAGGTACTCCCAAATTCGGAACAAAGATTAATTGCTTTCTTTAGTATTAGTTATTAGTTTTATTCATACCAACCATTGTGTGTGCTTATTGAATGTATGTGTTTGTGCGTGTGTTTGGCAGCCGCGGGCGGAGGCGCAGAGGTGGCACCGAGGCAGAAGGGGAAGTTGGGTCTTCTGCGCCAGTTGCCGATGCCTTTACGCTCTGTACCTCATCCCCACCAACTAAGTATTGGGGCTTCGCCAGCAACGAAAGGTAAGGAGGAAGCCATGACCTTCCTGTCCTCTTTTTATTCCACACTTATTGTTCCGCTCTTCATTATTTCTTTAGTTGTTATTTTTTTAATTTATACAAATAAAATAATACCCACAGAGGCCAGTACGTATTAAAATTAAAAGTATCCTTTTTATTTATAGATAATGAATTACTATTTAGGCAGCAAATTTTATTTTATGTACTGTATTTGTTAGGTATAGTCATACGATTTTTCGTTAATTTATTATTCACATTATCACGTATAACAGCTGTATGATTAACAAAATTGATAAGTATGATTTTCATTAACTTCTTTCTTCTTAATTTATTTGCTCTTCTCTTCTTCTGAACTTCTTGGGATTTTCCTTCTTTTTCTTCTTCCTTTTCTTTTCTTTTTCTCTTAACATCTTCTGCTCTTATTTTTGTTGTTCTTCTCTTATCTCCACTTTCCTTCTCTTTTTAACCTTTTTCTTCTATTCTTATTTACGAATTTTGCTCTCCGCTCATATCTTTTTCGTCTTCTCCTCTTTATTTTCCCAGCTTTTCTTGTTCTTCTCTTCTTAAGTTTTGCTTTTATCTCTTTGTTTTCATTCTCTTGCTGCTCCTTTCTTTCAACTCTTTCTGTTTGTCCCTTCTTCCTAAACATCTTTCTCCTGACCAGTGTCTTAGAATAGCAATACGAACCTCTTGTTTGTAGTGTGAATAGCAATGTGCATTAATGACTCAGATGAGACAGTTTTTCAGTTTTATTTAATATTCCGTTTTATATAAATATTCGGTCAATGAATCTATAACGTTGCGCGGTAAAATATTTAGGTTTCGATAATCAATTGTAACTTGCTTTCTTCTGAAATTATGTATTGTACTGTTCTTCTGAAATACTGTACTTAGTTCTACGTAGATGAAAATCTAAAATGAACAAAACAACATTCTTCATTGATATCCTTTTGATAGGAAGAAATACATTAAGATAGTTAAAATTATTAAACCTTTCAACTGCTCAACTCCAAAACTGATTCCAGAAACACGTCTGAAGAGCTGAATTTTAAAACATTGCAAATTCTAAAAAAGAAAAATTGCCATAATTTCAGGAATTGTGTAGTTTACAAACACAATGTTACAATAATTGTGGTTTTTCATTCAATAACAAATGTTCTTCGATTTTAAAATCTTTCCTTTATTTTCAAGACCGGACAATATCAAAATCAATTGCATTCACAATTCAAACAAGAATAAATTGTTATTTCATTTTTTGGCATAACAAAGTCTTTTGGTTTCAAAAGCGACCAAGTGTATTTTTGTACGTTTTAAAACTATGAAACTAATCAATTTAAGTTCGTTTCAGCAAACTGTTTTTCTTTTATTAAACAAAAACCTATTCTTAAAGTTTATGTTACGAATGTCAAATATTATTCACAGGAACAATAAATACCATACAGTATGTTTAGTAACTGTTTGCTTCAAAATGAAATATTTTGCACTTAACTCGAAATTGCAGAAAGGAGTTAGATTTTTTGAAACTAAGTATTTCACGTAACCGACATGCATGTTTCTTTTTTCTATTTGCAGGGCAATTCCCTTTCATCGTATCCCTACAGGTTAATGGTGAACACATTTGCGGCGGGAGTATTATAAGCCACCACACAGTGCTTACAGCCGCACACTGTATGACTTACCCTGCCTATTACTATGAGGTAAGGAGAACAACGCACACAAGAATATTTCTCGATAGTCCACGACCACAGTGGCTGTATAGAATATCAAAATAGTTAACCATTAAATAAGTATCGTAAGACTTGTTTCTCTTAGGATATGAAATTTGAGAAATATCAAATGATGACGATAACCAGATGATCACTACAGTACCCATACCTACAACGTTTTATCGTTTTATCAATTTTGAAAAATTATCCAATGTTACTATGTGTATTAAATTTGTATGAGGTTCTATAATCTTCGATTAAATTTTACTACTGGTCCCACAAATTTGAAAGTTCTGATGTTGAAAGTAGCCGTACATTTTATATTGCACATAATATTTTCACGAGTTTGATTATGTTCTATCATAAAACTTAGAGTCCCTAAATCTAAGTGGCTTAACGATATTGTTACTATTTCAAATTTATATACAATATTCACACCTACGACTTACACCGTAATTTCCAGTAAACAATCTATTACCAATTCTAATCTTACTTAGACGACGATTATAATTATTGTTATTCATTATGGGCCGTGGATAATTTGAACACTTGTTTACACATTATTAGAACTCTATTACGTAACTGATCTCAATTTAGTAATTGGGAATCATTTTGATAAATATGAACCTTTGCGATGGATATGTTTTGAATCCAAATAATACACGCGGCACGCAAGTTGTTAATAAAAAATTGGAATCTCGTAACTAATTGCTTGATGGAGAACCCAAATATTTTCCGGGTTATTGCTGATGCATTTTACTATATTTGAGAATTTATGTAAAATAATATTCGTATTAATTATTGTAAATTTATAATATGTTTCTATGTGAATTAAATAATTCATAATTAGCAATCAATTTAAACATTATTTTTCCAATTTTCAGGTAGTGGCTGGGGATCACGATTTAAAGATCGAGGAGGGTACAGAACAACGGAGAAAAGTAGCCAGCTTTGTTACGCATCCTGACTACAAGAGCTACACGTATGTAATTGTCTTCGTATGTAATTCACAGAATGTCTCAGAATAAATGTTACCAACTTCTAGGGTTTGTTGTACCGTCAAAGCTGATCTATTGGCCAATGAACATATACTGGAAAGCTGTACCTAACGATATTTTTATTTGCATTTTCACACTGGTGTTTGTGAAAATTGCAACAATCAGAAGGAATGGTCTGACTCGCTTAAAAATCGATGTATATGTTGAACAGTGTATCCATAAGAAGTTATTAAGATGGCACAAACATGGCGTGTAAGTTGGTCTAGCAGCGCCCTCCTTTGTGTGACTGATGAGGTCAACGATACGCCATACAAAGTCGATGTAGATCCATCAAACGAGGTAGAAACGTGCAAGCAAGTGCCGGCTCGCCTCGTCGACGCCAAATAACCCAACATCAGTATCTGAATGAGTTAGAACGGGGCAAAGTGATAAGTCTTCACAAAGCACGTTTGTCGTACAGTGACATTACGGTTTTGTGTGCATCAGACCATGTTTTGACGTAGTCAAAGAGATTTCATGTACCCGTGTAACATTTATGCGTTCGAGATTGCCTAAATCAGGGACAAATGCCCCTTGTATAAATGCATATGACACCTTATATGTAATTTCTCAATATATGTTTATTGGCAAAAAGATCGGATTTCACCACACTGTATGCCCTAGAAGATTGTAACAGTAATTCACCCTGGGACACCCTATGCTTTTACTCATAAGTAAAATATTCAAGAAGATATTACGAGACAAGTCAAAACAAGACGAGACTAGATGTAAAATCGAGACAAGACGAGTTAAGACGAAATAAAACGAGGCAAGCCGAGACAAGACGACACGAGATGAGATGAGACGAAGCCAGATTATTCGAGATGAGACGAAACGAGATAAGAAAAAAACGAGTGGTGCTAAAACAACATGTACTTTCTCTTCATTAGTATGGTTATGTAATACTATTTATTCTACAATTTCTCTCCAAAACTCACTTGAAATCGGAGAACATTTGATGCGAAAAATAAGCAGAATGCGAGAAAGTAAAATAATTAAAAGTTAATAAATAATACGATAGTGAGAGTACTGGCAAACTAATAGATCGAAAAATATATAATAGTAATTATTAAACATTGTGGTATTCTAATATTCTACAAATATATAAAAGTATTATTTTTTATTGCCGCGAACGAAACGCAGCCGTCATTATCGCCTTCTGTTATCTATGCGGTGTTACAACAATGGATAACAACTACCAACAATGACCGCTCATATATTCGTTGTCACATTTAACACAATTAAAGGATGAAATTTCAAATGTAATAACATAAACATATAAATAATAATAATAATGAAATTAAAAAAGTATACAAATTCTGACCTTTATAACATCCATCTGCGAAAATTGGAATTGTGTGACTCAATGCTAGCAATGTTTATTTCATAATTATTTCAAAGAGGTTTTACATAACTTCTAAAAAAATAATTTATTAATTAATAACAAAAGCTCTAATGTAAGAAATGACCAAAGAAATATGAAATATGAAATGATATACAAATTCTAACTTACGTAGCATCCAACTGCCTCAAAAAACCCATACAAATTCAATCAAGAAGCGTAGGATTTTCAGAACGAGCGACTAAATTTGACGCTCACTTACTCCAAAACTACTCATATTTTCAAAAAAAGCCAAAATGTCCTTATTTTAAAAAACTTTTTGTGATGAACACATTTCATCAAGAAAAAATAATATCTTCATAATTGTTGAAAGTCGCCGAAAAAATTTTGAATTTTTCCGATTGTCGAAAAATCAGGGTATTCAACCAACATGAGACCTGCACAATTTTCTTTAACGGCCTTCAGACTATCCACCAACAAAATTTCATCATAAACAATGGAGCCGTTTTTGAGAAAAATGTTTAAACAAAAATACAAAATGGCTTATATTTTCCCCAATATTACGTGAAAAATACTGACATTTTCGAAAAATTGTATATGACCTTATTTCAAAATATATCTTTAAGGAACAGATTTTATTAAGCAAAAAATCTCTATCTTTAATGTTTCAGTTGTAGAAATTTTAAATTTTTTCAATTTTCGAAGAATCTGAGTTTTCAACCAAGGCCTGCGCCATTCTCTTAAACGTCCTTCAGACAATTCAACAACAAAATTTAATCAAAATCGATGGCGTCATTTGTTTGAAAATGTCCCAAGGACGTAATGTAAAGTACCCTCCAAAATAAAAATATTAGTTTCAAATTCAAGGGGCCGTGACATCAGCCAGATCAATTGGTGAACATCAGTATTGGAGAAAATCTGCTGAATGCTTTAGCCACTTGAATTGTTCACAGTCAGACAGACATTTTGCAGTCAATAGATTTTTCGGCATAAAACATGGATTCTGGCTACACTCCGTGTTTGAGGTTTTCCAAATTTAGCAACTGTATTTATCCACTTTTTCGTTACCAGAGCCCTGCAATAAGAGTTTTTCTGCCGAAAATTTGCCTTTTTTTTGACGCAGCATTACATAACTTTCTCTTCTTAAGAAGTTCCTTCATAAGCGTAAGAAAGGAAAAGGACAAGATCAGAAATCGAAGAAAAAAATCTGTTTGTATTAAGTGTTTATTCCTGTTTTGTTTCTATTGCAGAAGCATTGGATTTAGCCCAAATGATGTTTCCATCCTACTGCTGAATGAACCCTTAGTGTTCACGGATTACGTGAAACACATCAAGCTGGCTGCTCCAGGTGTCAATCACGACGGCACCACTGTGCTTTCGGGTTGGGGTGTTACGGAGTAAGTGTGTAGTGGATTAGACATCAAATCCACTCGACCACTTGCGACCCTAGTCTAGCACCAGTGGCATCATCGGAGGATAGGAAATTCTCAGGAAGTCATGTCTCTCACCTTAGAAATAAATAACTAAAGAATGAACTACACGTTAACAATTTCTGCTTCTTTAAATGCATCATTTATACACTTCTATTTACATTTACGTACTCTTATATTGTAATTTTAGATGGAGGTCCAAAAATGTTTAACTTTTGCAATTTTTTACGTTTTAGAAGTGGTTTGGAAAATGGTTTTTGCGCCATTTATCACTTTCAATTTGCCATTTTTATCCAAATCCATATTTGAACTTGTTTAAATGAACTTAATATATTGTTTTAATTGGAAACTATGTAGGCGCTTATCTACATAACATGAATTTATTGATTCATTCCTAACTTAGAAAAATATATTGAAGCACATAACAATCATAAATATTAATACTTGGCCCAAAGGCTTTTGTATATGAAAATACTACGCATTTAATATAGTTTCAAAATAAATAATTTTAGTGATTTTTTAGCTCACAAGAAAATAACATACTTCCACCAATTTGAATTACTTGTGTGCAATATTGTATTGACGTCTATTGTATATCCTCAAGAGCGTTCAACATAGTTACTTAAAACAATGTAAACATCCGTGTGGGGATCCAAGGGAGAGTCTAAAAAGTATTTCAGGAGGGAGAAAGGCCATTTCTGTTCAGGGTCTCCATAAATGTTTTTGAAACATTATTTTAAGCTTTAACTCTAAGTTACAAAACGCAGTGTTTACTTGGCTGTCCGGAAAACGCCCAGTGGTAGGTGCAGAAGTCAAAGTTACGGCCGTCACTCTGCGAACGCCCTTAGGGCGAAGAGCACGAATGGACAAGTGACGGGCGAAACGTTGGCAATTGTTCCTAGGACAGAGTGGCTCCAAGACAGCCAAGTCGGCCGCGGAAGCCTGAGCTTTTATCAAAAATGTACGAGTGTATTCATAACGTGAACTGAAGACTGCTTTGGATGTGATGATTTTGGATCTATGTAAGGTAATTATTTTGAATAATAATAATAATAATAATAATAATAATAATAATAATAATAATAATATTTATTGAGTCACATATACAATTACAATCGGGTATGACGAGTCAATATGATGCCTTGGGTGGAGAGAGCGAAGTTATATTACTGTTCAGGAGCAAACAAGGGGCCATCTCAGCATTTGCTCAAAGGACCAGGGAAACTACAAAACCTGATTGAGATGAGGTCATTGGCCTATAAATACAATACTTGTTACAGTTAGATTAAGATGTTATACAGTAGATAAATTATCTGCTAATAATTAACATTTCAATATGTTATTTTAATGCTACAACTTATAATAATAATTATTACATTAATAATAATTACATTAATAGTACATATCAATTATGTTTGCAACTACATCAAATTTAACAATAGTAGTACATTCTATATTTATAACGTGAAATGGCGAAGAGACAAGTTTTGACCCGTTTATTTCTTCTTCTATTTTCCTTCTATGTCACAGGATGCGATATGCCAGTTCTTTTTTCTTTGCTTCAGCTTGAAACAGTTTACATGAAACAGAAAGTCTAATGGGATAAGAAATATATAGAGTAAAATCACAACACAAAATGTTGGCCTTTGGCGGGCCTAGTCCCCGTTTCTAATTCATGGAACCCTCACTGACATGAGCTTGGTGTACGCAGCTCCATCTTCCGAACTCCTCCTGACGTGCTATTGACGGAGGAACTGCCGGTGGTGAACCACAGCGTGTGTGTGGACCGCGTCGGCCGGCGATTCTTCGGAGTGAGCGAGGACGACCTGCCCGACTCCATCTTGTGCACCGGCCCCCTGGCTGGCGGCATGGGGCCCTGCCCGGTAAGCGGCACGTTGGCTGCCATGAGAGACCGTACGGTCTCATGGCCTGTGTTTTTGTTGTTGTACGAGATGTAATGGTCTCATGCGATAACCTGTGTATGGTACGAAAATAATTTCGGCAGTTAATTGATTATTTCGTGTTTCCTTGCCTGTCAATTGCTATGGTCATTGGTTCTTAAAAATGTAGTGCATGTTTTATCACGGAACTGAGAGTGTTACATTACTAAAAGTCCTTCCTCAGTTCCTCCTCCTAAAACAGTTCTAAGTTTCAAAAGAGACTAAAATTACTAACTAATCAAAATTAACTGAATTTCTTAAACATTTTTTGTGTGATTTAATTATTTCGAAAAAGCCTACATTGTAAGACAAGTCCGTGACTAAGATTACTGAGTAAGACTAGTTTTCAAGACAATGTTCTGCCTATGAACCACTTGGGTTGGTGACCCTGTGTCTATTTCGTGTCGGCAGGGAGACTCGGGAGGCCCTCTGACGCAGAACGGCGTGTTGGTGGGGGTCGTCTCGTGGGGGCCGTACATTTGCGGCACCGCGAACGTGCCGTCCGGCTTCACGCGGGTGTCGGCTTTCACACAGTGGATCACTACCGCGACCGCCAACTTCGGGATCGGCAGAGACCCAGGTCTTCACCCTCGAACAGCACCTGCCGCCCGGTTCCCAGCCCCGCCCCGCCCCGCCCCGGCCGCCTCCCACACACCCGCTCTCAGGAGCCACGGCTGAAAACGCAGGCCGCCGTGTCATGAGATAAGATAAATTTATTTGAACTGCCAATGGGCATATCCCGGGGGCAGCTAGTTACATAAATCTAAAATATATCTAACCCACAAAGATATAAAAGACGAAAAACAATAAATATAACGTAATCGTTCGCCACAACGCGACCTTAGAAATATATAATATATAGTATAATTATAAAGCAGTGGCATTAGCATTCTATCCATCAAACTCTAAAACAAAATATAGAACATAATCGAAGGCCACAATGCACATTTAGTGCACTACAAGTGCAATGCAAGTACAATGCACACAAGGAGATATGTCTAAATTTCATTGGGGTAGTGATATTTAATTTGTATTGTTAATATCTACTACTTTACCTGCCTCACACATTATTATTCTTTATTCCACATACCGTATTATAATAAATCTGTATACAACACTTTGTTATCACTGTCTCCTAACCAGCTTCATGTCAAATAAAAGGAAATTCCAGTTGAAAAGCCAATAGTACTAACAGCGAACTGACAAAGTTCAGAAACTACTACAACCTAGTGGAAATGCGTGGCATACCAACACTTTCTCTCCTGTGAGGGCTTTGAAAATGCATATTTTGCAGATTGTGAGGAATAATAAGCTACATTTTCACTCTACAGTAAAATAAAGTGACTATGTTGCAGCACTTTTTGGAAAAATGTCACAATTTCTATTATAATTACTCAACAAATACAATTTCAATAGTTTTAATGAAACTCGAAAATTTGCCATATGACCTTTGCTCTATTCAAGAAAGAATTAAAGAATAAATTTGCAATTCTTTTCAAAAAATGTCACAGCGGTTTACATAAAATATCCTCCAATATTAAAATATCGTAAAGGTAACTGAATCTGCAAAATTAGATCTTATTTCAATGTGTGTACCAGGTCTCAACACAAAACCTAATCTGACACATTTTCATGACACATCTATATACAGAAGAACATTCCGTTTTTCTAGTACACAACTGCATGTAACTCCTCGCAACCTTCATCGTTCTTAATCATGACGCGTGTGCGAAATTACAGATCTAAATAACCTTAAAACACGGAGTTTACTACTGTAAATTCGATTTCAGTTTGTTGAGGTGATTCCAATACTTTTCCTCCCTAACCTAGAGTAAAAGGAGGAAAAGTAAAAACTCACAGACCAGGTACATACTTGTTTCATTGTAACGGTGCTATTTAATTTGTATTCTTAAGACCTATAATTAGTTAATACAGTTAATTAGTTAATACACATATTGTAGATTCCCTAGTACCCACCCAGTGGGGGAGCTCTCATTCCAAAGTTCTGTTCCATAAAATCCTTGGTGTCGCCAGCTCCATTTTGGCGAGAGGAAGATTCGAAGGATTGGGATAGCTAGGTAGATAGAAGGAACACCCCAAATTAGAATAATAAAATTAACCTTTGCGAAGCCACTGATATTATTTTCTCACATTTAATCCTAATTATTATTTTAAATTGTTGTTACTACATATAATAATTTAAATTGTGTTTGTTATATTAAAATACTGATATATGTTTAATTCTTTCTCATGTATTTACTTTTGTATCTTATCTGTTTGTAAGTCAGTCATGAACATATTTATTACAATAATAATAGTTATTACTAAGTATATATTAAATAAAAAATACATATTCTTCCTCAATAAATTCCATGTTAATTGTTTCACTAGAATCATTATATTCATAGTAACTTCAATACTAAAATCTTCTGCTCAAAATGATATTGGTAAATTTCTGATAATTAATAAGCATGTGACAAGAATGTTGACTCTTGTTGCAGTAAAAATCCATTATTACGAATCTAATTTTGACTTGTTGTCAAACATTACTTCACATACTTTATGTAATTTTTGATACTGATAATAAAAGTAGGTACTCTCAAATCAAATACAAAAAATTCCTCCAGTACTATTATTTTCATTATAACAAGTGTATATTTAATATGCAATGATGTGTCTCCTCGCTAATTAATTTTGTTGTCTTTTGATGCTAAACAGAGATTTTGAGTCTTTGTTTCTTAAAAATTGCATCATAATTCATTTTCACTCAAATGAGACCAACAGCCACTGTCAATCACAATAATCTTATAATTGTAAACATTCATTCTTATTATGAAAACAATAGTCTTTGTTTAAAAATATAAATAATTATGTATTATTTTTAATTTTTGCATTGTACTTATTATGTTAATTGTTTGTACGATCTTTACCTTTGTAACAATTAATGCTATAAAACCTACTTTTAAGAAAATGGTCATTCTTCTTTCAAAAGTTGTTTTTTCATTATAGTATACTTCTCTAACAATCAAAAAATCTTTTATTTCTTAACTTTCCTTTCTAAGACCTTTTCCTCTAGTCATTACAATCTTAATAAACCTAATAAAAATATTAATATTTTGATTAATGACGCATCTTAAGTTTTTGTATTCTTATGACAAATAAAGTATTACAGAAACTAGTATAACTTTACAAATAGAGTTTCTATTGGTGTTTGTTCACCTACAATGTTATAATAGTCCTTTGTCCAGTTTTATTGTCTGAAGTGAATCTATGAAACAAAAAATAATAGAACTTATTAGAAAACGAAGATTTTAACAATTGATCCTCGGTTTTTAACAACTATAATCAGTATCGCTCAACGTTACTGCAGATGCAACAATGAAAACAAAAAATTATTTTCTGACTGCATCATGTAGTACTGACCTTTTATCATGGAGGGACTTGTATATGTGATCAAATATAAACTGTCAGTAAAGCTATATAAAAAATAGTATATGGAATTGAGGTGATTGTAGTGATTGTCACTAAGAAGGTAAATTACATTAAATAAAGGAAGCATTAAATTATATACAGTGGTGGAAAAAATTAATGTAACACCATTCATTATTTTACTTTTTTGTTTCAAAGACAGAGTGAAACTATGAACTGCTATTCAGTTCCCGGTTTTTGTAATTTTTATTTCTATTGTTGACCTCTTGGCATATATTCTTCGAGAATTCATAATTATTTGTCAACAAAGTCTGCTGATAACACCTGACCTCTGCTAAAAGATCATTTCTCGTGAAACTCTTTGTATGGGTAAAGGAGTGGAATTACCGCAGAAAAAGAAACCAGCAATGCCGGCTTATTCTTCTGTTAGTCTCAGTTCTTGAGATCTTTCAAGATTGGTTTTCATCAGTCTGCCATCTCTAGGCTTCTTAAAAAAATACAGCGATAATGGAAATGTTGATCGTATGAAAGGGAGAGTAAGAAAAGTCTTCTACCCCTAATTATGATGGAATGAGTCTGTCTTAGCAATCGCTGACTCTCATCAACAGATATGAGAAGAGAATGGGTAGAAATGTAAGTCGTGTCTGTGACTAGTAGACTCATTGAAGCAGGGCCTCCTGACCGTCGCCCAGAAAGAAGTCTTTACTGACGAAATCAATGTTACAAAAGAGACTACAGTGCAAAAGCACATGTGACATGGTCCACAGAATTGTGGAATAAAGTGCTCTTTTCTAATGACTACAAATAGGATTTGCGTGGCCCCGATTGAAAACTGTTCGTTCGCCGCAGAAGGTGGTGAAGAATTTTTCTCTTCATGCATTACGCACGCATGCGTTACTGTGAAGCATTCACAAGGGCAAATTATCTTAGAATGCATGTCTAGTCATGGGGTTGGTAATCTCGACTCCTTAAAAGGCTCTGTTACTGGAGGTGTCTATAAAATATTCTTGTTAATGCCAACTATTACAGACCACTGAAGGACAAATGATCTTAGAATGCATGTCTAGCCATGGGGTTGGTAGTCTCGACTTCTTAAAAGGCTCTGTTACTGGAAGTGTCTATAAAATATTCTTGAAAGGACGTTAATGCCAATTATTACGGACCACTTTGGTGATATTTCATGTTGCATTTTTCAAGACGATTCTCCTCCTTGCCACAGAGCTTTAAATGTAATTCACATGAATGCTATTTATAGAATGAACGTAGCAGAAGTTTAATACAAACGATTAGTATACATTTTTACAATTTAGGTGAAGTATTTCCTGCAAAAAATGGTGTGCAAGGGACTGACCTGGCAATAGCCCTGATCTCAATCCAATTGAAAAATGTTGGAAGGTTATGGGGAGAATGCTGCGGAAAAAGAGAAACCCAGAAATGAAATAGAACTACGTGATACCTTTGTAGCTGTGTGATTTCATGAATTGAACAAGCAATTTGTTAATCATTGAATTCTACCGATGCCTAAACGATGTCAGGCAGTAATCAAAGAACGTAGCGAGCCAACAAAATATTAATGGCACCTTGAACTTTTATGATGCAGTTGAGTGTTTGTAGTTACAAAAACTGCAGTGCAAAACCGTATTTTGCTATAAATCAATTCAAGTCCTTTTTTCCAACTTTCAAACATATTACGTATTTTTGTACTAAGACCCTACTTCTTTTATGTAGTGTCAGATATATTCAAAAACAATGTTATAACTATTATAAAAAATGAAAAACAACTTGATAAACTAATGTTGAAACTCATTATGAATACAAAATAGAGATAAATAAATAAATTATTCAACGATTTCAGTTGAAAAACGTCATGTGAGAATGCAATATTTTTTCCAACACTGTAAGTAATATGTATCTCCCGAGGGAGTTAAAGTTGCCTTAAAAGCTTCTTATAGCTAAAGAAAAACAATAATTAACATAAAACTGGAGGTGAACGACGATTCTTTACTGTTAGAAAATGAAAGAAAACTTTTTTATTGTATTTATTTATTTATTTATTTTATATACAATGCGTTGATTTACAACGCCTGGAAGCCGAAGGCGTCCGGAGCTCAGAGGCCCTCTGCGTTGGCGAGGATCCAGTCGTTGAAGGCGGAGACGCGAGTGTAGACTGACGGAGCGTTGACGGAACCGCAGGGGATGTAGCCCCACGAGACGATGCCGATCACCTCTCCGTTCTGAGCCAGCGGGCCGCCGGAATCGCCCTGCGCACAGACACACACACGTTTACTCCTGTGCTCGGCACGTAGGACTAATTACCATATTCTCATCACAAGATCTCTCAAATTGAAGTTCAATGCCTCTTGTGCCAAATTAGACTTCATTCCATGAAAGTCAAGCAAGTCCATGAACGTCAAGTAATGATTGGCAAGAGAAATTGGAACATTCCGAGAAACCATGCCGACAACATCAAATCTTTATACTCGTACATACAATTGAAAAGAAAGCTCCGATACAAAGTAATGATATTGTAAACAAAACACATACACACACAAACACACCCACACACATACACATACACACACATGCCTAAACCTATGTTAGTGAAATGGTTAGATAAAGTGTAAAATTATTTGAGTATTTCAGTTTTCTTATGGCATATTCTATAGTGCCGAATGATCCTCCCAACTAATAGCTGCAGCCCTTATTTGCGACGCTGCTCCGAGGTTTCCTCTATCAGAGGGAAATCATCATATCGCTGGCAGTATTCGTTGGGGAGGTGTTTGCCCGCAGTCCGTCACTCACTCTTCACGGTAGTACTTCCACGAGTTCTCCCGGAAATTCATCTTGGAAACGATTTGAAATTTCTGAAAATTTTTTCACACTATTTTTCCAGCTACTTTGATGCAGTGTACCTACTGTATATTCATAAAAGTAAAACCTATATTATTTTCATTAAATAGAGCAAACAATGTTGCACAAGTAAGTTCATTTTAGTTAATTTAGCAATAAAGGAGAGGAAAATAGTTCACCCTTAATTTGTGAAAATTTGAGATGGAGTAATTGACCATTTGGCATCTCAAGTTTATTGTTCTCTGGCGAGTCCTTGCGAGGCCCCAAAAGTTTTAAGATGAAGAGAGGAATGGCTTTGGAATGGACTTCCACTTTGTAGGTTGATGCTTTTGCGCAATATCATGAAACCTTTTTGAATTCAGGAGTCTATTTTTACTCTCTCGCAAACACTTACGTACTACATAGAATGTTTTGTAATATTGCAGCAAAACGGCAATTTTTAGACATAAGAGATCATTTTGTTGGTCACTGACACGTAACAAGTGAATGATTCGTGTTCGTATGTTAAATTTCTCTGACATGTGTAGTCTGTTTTAGTGGGTCCTTGATACCAAAAAATAGGTTAACGTAAAACGTTTTTCCTTCCTTCTGTCCGCTTTCTACGAATGAACTGAAAAACGTGGCATAAAGGCCATTTTGGCCTGGTATTCTTTTGATATATCAAAAATTACAAAAATGTAATGAGGACTTTCTTATACATAATTGTATTCGTTAGTACTATAAAATATTTCTTACGGAATTTTTCAAAAACTCAAACGTTTTCACTGAAAATGAACTCAAAATTGCTCATTTTCAGAAATACACAAATAATATTTTCCTTAAATGAAACGGTTCCGATGTATATTTAATGAAAGTTTGCCTACAGGACTAGGTATCCTGCAATAATATTCTTAAAGTTATATTTCAATTCTACTTTTAGGGGGGGGGGAAATTAATAAGTTGTGAAAAAATGTCTTTTACGCGACAATAGATGAGATAAGGAAACAGAACTATAAAATCTATATTTTTCTGTAGTACTAGTTAAATATTTGTCCCTTGTATATTAATCTGACCATGTGTTCAGGTGTGAAGAAATGCATAAGCAGACAAAGCATATGGTTTCGGTTTTAAACATTCACAAATATGGAAACTATTTTACTAATAACTTGTTTGTATATTTTTATATCAATTGTAATTTTGTATGTTCAGCACTTCAATATTTTTGGGAGTTTCACGGTATAAACATGTTAAGTTGCGCCAAAAAATTAATCGTATGTGTTTCAGTAAAAAAAAAAGTCTTTGAAATTGCAAAATTCAATCCACATTGTATTAATCCTGTGATAAAAAAAATAGTTCCATAATCCATTCGAAAATTATACGTTATCACTGTTTAAATGTCTTCCGCAAAATCATCGCAGATCAATGTAATAAAAGTAAAATAAAATTATACAACTGACTCACGAATTCAACATTAGGATCGGATCCACGGGGAGGGAAATGAAATTGTTTCCTCCTAAAATTTTTCAGTTCCTATTAAATTTTACATGTCATGGGAGTTTCAAGAAAAATATTTTCGGATTATCATTAAAACGAATAAAATCATATCGCAGCATGAACTGAGCTGCGACATTTTATAAAATCTGTAATACGACAAATTCTACGTAAACATTCTGAATTTCCGATCCCAAAATTCCCCTCTGGATTTCCGCTCCCAAAATTCCCCTCCTTGCATTAGGTGAAGCCCAATTATAACGTAAGGGCGTTCCGCCTAAAATTTATTTTTCAAAACTATATTCAAATAAGTGTGTTGAATGTGCGATAGTACAATTTGAATTTATAATTTTATTGCTTGAAAAAGTTGAAATAATATTCAAATTTTGTTATTTAATAAAAAAAATCGAAAATATATAAAAGACCAATATCTCCTGTTTTCATAATGTAAGTATAGAAAAAGAGGATTAACAATGAATAGGGAAAAGGAAATAAGAAGTACAACTGAGCATACAACATTAGTTTTTTAACGGGTTATAATGCCGTGGAAGACCGTCGAAGATGCTTATAATATAGCTGAGAGCCACATGTATTTAATTTTTTAGGTACATAATATTTTTAAATCTATATTGATTAGGAATCGTTAGGTCTTTTCGTTATTCAAATGCTGTGTAGAAATTCAAAATTTGTTGAATTCTCTGTGGAGTTTTATATCCCAATTAACTTATTTTTATTTTGTTTATTGTTCAATTAACTTATTTTTATTTTTCCCTACCTTTAGTTCAAGTTTTCACAATAAATGATTAAAACATATTTCACGTTGTGCAACACTCGTCAGTGTGAAGAAATGCGCTTGGATTTTATCATACGAGTTTCCGGGCACCTGATTAACATACCCGCGCACGTAGCGATTATTAGGTAACATGCAAATTACTCATCAAATGTTTCATTTGCTGATGTGAGGCCAGAATTACCGAACCGCATGAGGAAAAATATTTATCAAAACGCCATCAATTTTACCGCACTAATCCCTACGGTATATTTCATAGAACAGCCAGGTGATAAGAAGTTCAAAGTTTGCTTCTTGGCTCTAAATTGTACGTAATCAGTACAATACGCTTAGGTTTTAGTCATATGATTTTTGGGATACGTGGCTCACACACCTGCGTTCAAAGTTAAGGATATCTAGTTAATCTGCATATTCATCATCAAATAAATAATCTCTTTCAGCGTGATGATGCAGGTTCTCGGCGTAGACGATTCCAAACCAAGACTGAGAATTCGAATCCTGCGTAAGGTATGCATGTTGAGCTTAATGTGGTATGGGGCATGCCCAGTCCCCTTTGAACTGTTCAAACCATGACAAGCCTTTCTTGACCTTACTCCACAACGAAAAAAACATGTCATATGCAGTGGGTGCACAATTACGGCTACGGCACGGCGCTATCGAAACCCGTCCTCCCATCCCGTGAAAAGAGCCATCTCCGAGATGGTTTCAGGGGCACTGTGGAAGAATTTACACGAGTAGTTCCGAGAGCAGCCTTGAGGTCATCGCTAGGAAGAGACAAGCCGTCGGTTGCATTTCACTCGGCCGAACGACGTTGGCAGGTTGCTTGTTATTGCGCGTGGTCAGGCATCTCTAGATGGATGCCGGGAAAGGGAGTTCAGTAGAATAGTAACGTTAAAGTAGACCCAACAATAAATAAAAAGCAAACTAATTATTACTCTGTGATCACCAAAACAAAGCTTCTTGGCACTGAAAGCTGGACCCAAAACAAGAAAACAAACACGAAATATTCTTACTAGTCTCTTTGGAGAATTTTTAATATCTTTCTCCTACTATAAATCATGAGCACCTAATGTTCGTTCAGAATGAAGACATAAAATATCAAGAATAATCCACAAGTTCAGAACTTCTGAAGGTGAGAAACTTGTTACGATTAACGACAAAAGCATAGGCCTCCGCGGCCGGAGTCAGTATCACCCTAAGGAAGGCCGAAATGTTGGCATCTGTGCGGTTTCCCGAACAGCCAAGTACGTAAGTTTAAATATTCTAGGAAATAAATACATCCATAGAAAATGGTTTTGAGGGAAATAGCAAAATTTGGTTCTGTGGCACCTACTACAAGACACGGTACAAAGGTAAATGTGAAAACTGAGGTGATGATTAATATACAGATAAACTAGTTATCTCTTATCTTTTTTCTTCCGCCGGCTTTTTTCAGCTTTCAGGGGATGCCGATTTCGGCTATCAACGACATGTACCCACTATGACCCTCATGAGGACACATATTGACCTTAACACTAGCCTCTGACACACTTGCGTGTTCATCGGTCTGTGGTCAGCAGACTCACAATACATTAAAGACAAGGGACAAACAACCAAGCCCACAGTGGAACTCGAATCCGGGACCCTTCCGATTGAGGCGCTGAGTCACCACCCGCTCTAGCCACCTCGGCCATCCAGGTCGGCAAGTACTAGTTATCTCTACGTTTGCATCCAAAAATTGGAAAAATACATGTCAGCGGAGACGTTCTGAGGAGTCGATGGTCCGGTGAGCTGCAGATGTGGAGCGGAGCTCAGAGGTCTATTCTTGCTAGGGTCAGATGGCTGCTTTGCTCATGAACTCGCGAATAAAAGGGCGTAATCTCCCAAACTCTCAAGAGCGACATTCCCAATAGGTGGAATGAATGTTCATGTGTGTAAGTTTGAGCGGAGTTCACGTGTGATCATGTAATCGCAATAAGACAACGGAAACCGTTTGGATGTAGAAAATATACTTTTCAGTGTTTGTGAAACCTTACAACAATCAAGTGTGTTCAAACTTCCCTGTCCGGAAAATTTCTCCTGAACGTGAAGTTAAATGGCATTTAACACAGCATATAACGGAACCTCTCCAACTCGGAAACGGAACGTTTTTTCATGTCCTGCAGAGAGAAAAATCTTTATAAAACGGAATTCCCACAAATTTAATGCGATTGGTAGAGAGACGTTCTTTATGAAATGAATGCATATGCAAGCTCATTTTAAATTCACTCTCCATGTGATGCGCGATTTCGTTGTGACAGTCGGACATTGAAGGAGAGGGACTTCAGATGTCAATGTAGAATTTGATCTTGGGGTCGCTTGTCTCTCAAGGCGTAGGCCGTAGAGGAATTCACTCTCACCCGACTCCTAGCGCGGGAAGGTGTGTGGGCATGGCAGCCACTCACGCGTCTTCCTGCCCCGCGTTGAAAATAATAACCCCTCGACCAGATATGTGTTGCTCAAGGCTATGCGACGGTATCCGGAAGTCCTAGTATTGGGTTGAGATGCATTGTGTGTTGAAAGAGTGAGCAAACTGTTCGAATACAGCCAGTAAGGAGTGTATTTTTTAACTCAGAAGCAGTCAATGAAGAGTGTTCAATATTCATTTATTTGTGATTTCTTCAATAAATACGTCACACGTTGATGTATTTTGATAATTGTAAAAAAGTCATGTAGTTTACTATTTTCAGAGCAGAAACGACAATATCACATGTGTCATAAAATGGACAAACTTGCATAAAACGGCAACCTCCCTAAACTGGAACAATTTTATTTTCGATCGATTCCGGCGCGATGGTATAATGGTTAGCGTATAGGACTGTTATACCCAAGTTCGCGTGTGCAAACCCGATCGACGCCGTGGATTTTTAAGGGCGAAAAAATCCTTCGTACGCCTTCCTTCGGAGAGGAAGTAAAGCCGGCTGTCCCATGTTAGTAGATTTCCTGTTTGTAAAAGATCCTCATGCCTACATGTCGTCTTTGAGCAAAAATTAAAATCGCCTGTTTCTCGCCTAACAAATACCTCCTTTCTCCGCTAGTTGGTGAAAGACGCGTAGCGAAATTTGCGTGGTCAAACGTAAGAGCGGGCCTGATGGCCCGAGTCTCGCCACATAAAATAAGGCATTAATTCAATAATTCAATTCTGGCTTAGACAGATTGTACTGTGTTATGTTTATGTACCCTTATTCAGATGTTTGCGAGCAAGGCTACTCTTCCCAATCATTGCTTGACACCAATATTCAAATGGTATTAAAAAAATAACAACAACAATAACTTATAATATCTACATCAAATAAACAAGATGCAGACCACCAAAAACCAATCATTTATGTGGCTGCAAAGGATAAGATCGAATCTAGAGTGAAGCCAGAATCTGAAGCAGCTCATTAATAATACAATATGGATAGTAACACGTGGCGTCGCCGACATTGTAATCTGTTTTAAAAATAGTTTCATGTGTTGAAAATTTCTTTCATGCCCATATTTGATCAAATATGTTCTTTCAGTAGCAGGCTTTGGACTTACAAATGAATAGAAGTAGCTGATAACGTTATACTCAATCTAATGGTCAGTATATCAAAACCTAATGGTCTTGTAACACCTAATGGTCTTGTGTGTTACCTTCATACGGTATATGAACTGGTCTTATTGCAATTTCAAAATTATAATCACCGTAACAGATATTTGTAGGTTGTAACGCTAGTAGTTGAATTTTCGTGCAGCCACATTTTACGCTAACTTGCACAAAAATGTACACAGATAATTTGCATTAGCACAAATGCTAAATGTAAAAATGCTGATCGTTCCCAATTACTTTTGAAATTGTTGATCATTCCCAATCAGCCGAATATGTTGATCATTCCCAATTAGTTCCGATAAGTCGCAACATATTTTACAACATTTTATTCTACCCCAGATTTCCTTAACAATTCCACATTTCCCTAATTTTTTAGCATATTTAACCCTCACAAACTCAGTCCAATTTGTGTTCATTTCTACCTTTGAAATTGCTATATTAATTGTTTTGCATGCGAATAAAACATTAAAAACTGATAATTCGAATATAAAATTGAAATCAATCTGAACCGTGATTCACTTATTTCAATTGCTCATTTAAAGGTATCAATATCAGTGTTTCCAACGCCGTGAAAGAAAATTATGTCGAATTTTGCGAAATAATACTGGGTTTGTTCGAAATGTTGGATACTGGGATTTAATCAACGTCACCTTGATAGATCGATTTAGGAGGTATTGGACCGCCGCACCAAAATACGAAAAAAAATTGGAAATTTCTTATAATCTTCTAGCGGGATCCAAAAACAAAAGTCAGTAGACCGAGACGCGTCGAATGATACCTCACACACCTATATTGGTGCAAGGGAAGTAGCCTAACTGAGACGAAATCGCTCACATCCGCACATCTGCACATACGCACAATCAAGAGTTTCACTCGAATGCTGCATAGGGTTACAACGGTTTCTCATAACATCCGAAGACGACAAATGCCTTATTTGTCATACAGACAGAAACAACTGACTGTATCTCCTCAACTTGACCAGCAATGCCGGAGTACAAGACAAAGCTTTATACAGGGGTGACAACAGGGTGAGAGTGGAGTGAACTCGCGGCGATCGCAGGTGATCACGGGTAGAGAGTAGAGTGATCTCGGAATGAGCGCTGGTTGAACGTGGGCTGAGAGACGAGAGAGATAATGTTAAGATCAGAGTGAGAGCATGGAGAAAATGGAGTGAGATCGGGAAGGGAGCTGATGTGAGCGTGGTGTAAGCTGTGAGTAAGCACGGAGTGAGTGATGCCAAGCATGGGTTAAGCGCGGAGTGAGTTCAAAGTGAGCACGCTGTCAAGCGTAGGTGAGCACAGGGTGAGCTTAGGGCGAACACTGGATGAGCGTTTTGGAGCTTGGTTGAGCGCAGGGAAGTATGCTTCATGTGAGTGCGAGGTGAAGCGTGGGTGAAGGAGGGGTAAGTTCCGAGTGCACAAGGGGCCAGCATGGGTGAACCAGGGGTGAGCGCGATTGAGCCCAGCGACACCAAGTGAGCGACACTGGGCTTGCGTGAGGGAGGGGTGAGTTTCGAGTGGGCATACGAAGAACGGTTTCTATCAAGGGGAAGCTCATTGCGGGCAGGCGTTCGAGTGAACACGTGATGAGGAATGAGAAGCAAGGGTGAGCGTCGATCAAGAAGCGTGTGTGCGCGCATTGAATGAGAGCGAAGTGTGAGCGAAGTGAGAGCATGGTGAGCTTCGGGTGAGCCACGCCAAGCATGGGTAAACGCAGGGTGAGTTTCGAGTGAGCACTGGGTGAGGAGTGAGAATCACTTGTACGCGTCGAGTATTAAGCGTGGGTGAGCGCATTGAATGAGAGCGAAGTGTGAGTGAAGTGAGCGATCGGTGAGGTGGGGATGAGCCACACCAAGCATGGGTGAGCGCGGGGAGAGTGTCGAGTGGGCACAGGGTGAGGAGTGAGAAGCACGTGTAAGCGTCGAGCATCAAGCGTGTGCTGAATGAGATCGCAGTGTGAGCGAGGTGAGCTTCGGGTGAGCCACACCAAGCATGGGTGAGCGCGGGGGGAGTGTCGAGTGGGCACAGGGTGAGGAGTGAAAAGCACGTGTAAGCGTCGAGCATCAAGCGTGTATTGAATGAGAGCGCAGTGTGAGCGAGGTGAGCTTCGGGTGAGCAACACCAAGCATGGGTGAGCGCGGGGGGAGTGTCGAGTGGGCACAGGGTGAGAAGTGAGAAGCACGTGTAAGCGTCGAGCATCAAGCGTGTGCTGAATGCTCGGTGAGCGCACGGTGAGCTGCGGGTGAGCCGCACCAAGCATGGGTGAGCGCGGGGGGAGTTTCGAGTCAGCACAGGGTGAGGAATGAGAAGAAAGTGTAAGCGTCGAGCATCGAGCGTGTGTTGAATGAGAGCGCAGTATGAGCGAGGTGAGCGCACGGTGAGCCGCGCCGAAGCGCGGGCGGTACGCACCGAGCAGGCGGAGGTGCCTCCGGTGAGGGGCCCGGAGCAGACGTTGGTGTCGGCGAGGGGCTCGCCGCCCACGGCCGCCCAGCACTCCTCGAAGCTCAGCAGCGGCACCTCCACCGTCTGCAGGATGGACGGCGTGCTGGGGACGAGGCTGGTGGAGGTGGAGCCCCAGCCCGAGAGCACGGCGGTGCCCGTGGGCACGGACCCGGCGGCGGGCAGGGCGATGGGCTGCACCAGCTCGTTGAGGGAGAGCGGAGACTGCAGGATCATCACGGCCACGTCGTTGGGCGCCACGCCGCTGCAACCCGCACAACGCGACGGTTATTTCATTCAGCAAGTGCACTGCAATCATCTGTTCTACTTTCTCTTGTACGTACGTAAATCTGCATTTGCATTAAGCCACTATATGTGAATCGGTGCAAACTAAAAGGTTCGATGCCAATTTTGCCGGTTTTGAATTAACGGTGGCAAACTGTTCTTAAAATATAAATTCAACTTTCTATGCCCAAACGGTTTTGTCTGTGAACACTACGACGTCTGTAGAGTGTCCTTCAACTCTTAATGTTAAGAAAAAACTATCGATGTCTGGAATCTTTCGGCTTGCTCTTCAAAATTTGAAGCTCCAGGACATTGAACGTTTTCATTTTCTCTGATTTATTTCTCGTAAAGGGCGAATGGCCTCGGCGCCGTTAGATCCCAGGGTTCCTAGTCGTGACAGACGTTGTATAATGAATTCGCTTAGAGACACTGGTCTTTCAGTAGCAACCGTCTTCAGCATTAGCGTGAATGACCACGAAAAGCGGCGGCGCGGTGGTGTAACGGTTAGCGTACTGGACTGTTGTACCCAAAGTTGGGCGGGTTCAAACGCCGATCGAAGCCGTGGATTTTAAGGGCGGAAAAATCCTTCGTACCCTTTCCTTCGGAGGGGAATAAAGCCGGCTGTCCCATGTTCGTAGCATTTACTTGCATGTGAAGATCCCAGCCCTAAATGACGCCTGTCTGAAGCTAAATTCAAATCGCTGTTTTCTCTGCACCAAGAAATAACCTTCTTTCTCTGTATATTGAAAAGGTGCGTAGCGAAATTTGCGTGGTCAGACGGAAGAGCGGGCCTGATGGCCCGAGTCTCGCCACGTAATAAGACATATTCAATTCAATTCAATTCAATTCAAAAGCCCGGTCAACATGGCCGGCACGAGGATTAAACCCGAGCCCCCCGAATGCGGAGTCAGAGCCACTTCGCTCGATATAGTACATACAAATATATTACGGAGTAATAAAGGGAATATAGAGAAAGTTATAAAATCTTGTGGAAAATGAATTTCGTGATTTCAACGGAAATACAGTTTTGGAGTCCCTGTTAATAAAAAAGTGTTGTTTCTTTGGCTTTTTTAAATGTCCGTTCGTCCATCTATCCTCCCATTGATACGTAAAAACTACAGCCTAAACTATTCTTTGGAATATTTTTTTTATAAATAAAGTTTCCCCGTCGATTTCGCCCGAGTCGAAGCCCTGTGATTTTGAAAAACATTCTTTAAATTTTGGGAGCACTAAAAGCCGTGGCACATTTTCAAAATTTTCCCAAAACTGTCTCCAATATTTTTCTTTAAATTTCGTGTTTTTTGTGTACTATGATTTTCCGCTATGTGAAGCAACGCTGACACCGACGGTGAATAAATCCAAAAATATTGTTGTTGTTTTTGCCTAAAATATCAAATAGCATTATTTACACCCGTTCGTCTCAATTAAGTTGCTTGCCTCCCACCCATCCTGCTTCTCTAATCTTGTCGTAAGCCCCTGAGCGCGCCAGCCTCGCAGCCTGCGTGCGCGTGGGGCTCACCCGGCGTAGTCGGGGTGCACGATGGAGCGTGCGACGCGAATGCGCTGCTCGCTGCCCTCGTTCACGTTCAGGTTGTGCTCACCCGCCACCGCCTGCAACACACGTCACCACGTCATTCCACCACCCAAAATATTAGCAGTAAATAATAATAATAATAATAATAATAATAATAATAATAATAATAATAATAATAATAATAATAATGTTTCTGCGAATTTTATTGTGGGTGCTTCAGCCCGTTGGCAGCCCTATTGGCAGTCTCGCTGGTGTCAGCCGTGACGCGGCAGCAGGTTTGAATTTCGCGCCCGAAAGTAACATTTAAAGTCAATTTCCTCACAGACACTTTTTTCGGAAATATTAAATCTGCCATTCTTCATGAATGTCAACTTAAATTATCGGTTATTTTTTTGTAACGGTAACGCCTGAACACTATAAAACTTCCCAATACGTATTCATAGGCAAAAAGTGTTCATTCTGGACTATCTACACGACTTAGAAGTTTATGACATTTATTCTGAGACACACGGTGGGCAATGAGAGCGAGTAGTTGCTCCTGATTTTGATGGTGTAGCGGTTTGGCGTTGCTAACCCATGCATAACGGCTGTTATATCCAAGCTCACAGGTTCAAACGCGACCAAAGCTGTGAATTTTTAAGGGTGAAAAATATCCTTCATACGCCTTCCTTCTGAGGTGGTGTAAATCGGGATGTCCCATGTAGTAGATTAACAGCAAGTTAAAGATCCTCAAGCCTAAAGAAGTTGCCCTAGCTAAATTCAAATCGCATGTTTCATCGCCCGAGTAATACCGTTTTCCTCCGCTAGATGCTGAAAGTAGAGCAGCGAAATTTACGTGGTCAGAGAGAAGAACAGGCCTCAGGCCTGAGCTCGCCACGTAAAATAAGGCATCAATTCAATTGGGTAGTTACGCGCGGCTGTGTGCATCGCCGGGCAGCGCACCTGGTAGTAGCCGATGTTGGGCACCTCGGTGATGCAGTGGGCGGCGGTGAGGATGGTGCTGGGGGAGATGATGGATCCGCCGCACGAGTGGCTGCTCACGATCCACAGCACCAACTGCAGCGACACCTGGTACGGGAACTGGCCTGCGCGCGGTCACACATACATTCAGGCATGCATTCTACCATATGGAGGGTGATCATTACGGGGCGGATTTTGATGTCACCGACAAAAATGATCAATAAAATGCTCTTAAATTGTTTGTAAAATGCCCTACAGGCGAAGACTAAGGACGTAAAAAAATTGATTAAAACCGGATAAAGCTGCTGGATACGTCACTGATGTAATCGAGTCTTCTTCCTCTCAACTATTCCCCCCACACACACACACACTACATAAAAATCACCCACCAAATAGTTCTGATATAAAAGTGTAAAAGACAATAATGATAATGAAGTAGGCCTATTGTATAATTGTGAAAGTGATAACAATGACTGAAGTATTTATTTCGTCAATGTACATAATATTTCTTATAAGAAAAGTAAATCTTGTATTTTATTAAAACATTTTATATGAAGTGTCCCGTTTTTAGGAAAAAATGTTCTCTTTTTTCGTTATGGAAGTGCGGTAACATTTTTTTACTGTCCTTTGACAAAATAGGAGCAAGCGAATGCAGCGCTTTTGCGGGAGACTCACCCCTGATGGCGTCCTGGCCGCCCACAATGCGGCCGTGGTTGAAGCCCACACGTGGCTGCAACGCCCTCGGGGAGGCCCCTGCGGCACACCCACACACACATGAGGCTTGCGCAGCGGAGAAACGTGGAGAATTTTTGAAAAAATATTTTCTAAGCAGTACGTCTCCTAAATACCATGACCGACAAAGGTGGTTCAGGGTCTACAATGATGTCATTGTTGTCAATGATGTCATTGCAGTGCCTTCAAGCGGGAGACCCTACGTTCGAGTCCTGACGGTGGTAGGATTTTTAATTCTCGCTACATAGGTAGATCGAATTCAGCTGCTGTCTGGAGGTGAATTCTAGTGGCCGGCTGCTCTGATCGGTAGTTTTCCCAGGTTTCCCAGGGAACAACACCGTGTCGGAGCAGCGCTCTAACAAACGGGCCACGGACCGCGCCCGATCTTTCCTCCTTATTTCTTGTCCTACCCTCGCCCCTTACATACCGACTAACAGTCACATGTACTACATAATCACTTGTCGGGAAACACGTCGGGAGCTTAGAGCTTGTTCCGGCTTTGGTATCGCCCCCTGGTGAGAGATACCTGGTAGGGAAAATACCCGCAAGCCGGCGCTAGGTCGGCGCCGGATCTCGCGGTCCACTGGAGGAAGATCATCGCCACCTTCCGAGATAAAAAATGCACTAAATTTACGGGACTATTCACTTTAGTAGTTGCCGCACCGGAAATCACTAATCAATCCATCAAATACCTACCATAAGTTCTCACAACATTGCGCAAAAATTATCATAGTTTTAAAAAAAATTACAAGGCATTATTTAAAGGTATTTTTGTAATATTGAAGAACATATTTCACCAAGAGAAATGTGTTCTTCAAAATCCTCGCTACCCTCGGTCGACAAACTCAACTCGTGCGTGAATCACTTGTTTCGCGCCCTTGTTACTTAAACTACTATTTTAGCACCGTGCGCGCAAGTAAGTTTCTTCTGGAACAGTAATACGAAATGTAATCAAATTTGTAAATATTATTATTATGTAAAATTGTAAACGAAATTTTGATTGTTTATGACCAGGCAGTTGTACAGCGATCTAAAATAAATTAAAATAAAAAAAATAAAAAAGGTTTTTCTTCTTTGATTACCGTGTGCGAAACAGCCACTTCCTTCATTTTAACAACTAGTTAGCTAACTTTACGATGGGTGCGCAAAATATTGCGAAGTATGTGAGAATCATCTTTCGTACACGGCATATTACAAAATAGTACACGCAACACGTGCGCCAGATAATTTACCCACTCGTCTTTTGTCGCCGTTACATACGCTTGTGTGCGAATCACCTGTTTTGTAACTTGCTCTCAGTGGGCAGGTAGGAGCGTGTCTCATAAACTCGCAACTACCTCGTCAAAGTCACTAAGTAGTAACGTAATCTAATTGTACAAAAGACACAATAAATACACACATTTATATATAACATATTTCACGTCCTTATTACGTAAATTACTATTTCCTGCAGACAAATCGGCACTTTTTATGCAGCAATAAATACTTTCTCTGTACCACGAGCATGTAAATAGAAATATAGTATAACAGAAATAGGCAGGTCCAACAGGCGTAACTATCCTTGGTGTACAAACTGAGTAATAAAAATGTCTGTGTACTGACTGAGTGTTATGAAAAGAAGAAAACCTAATAGTATGGAGAAAATGATCTAGAAACGGATAGTAATGAGGTCTAATGTGCGTGCTAGGATTTAATGAAGATGATGATTTATCATTATTACAAGTCGGCAAAAATAATCATCATAAACGTAGAGGTTATCAGTAAAATAAATTTTGTTTTAGAATCACCGATAAATCACAAACTGTCGACAACGGCCGCTCCTCTGGTTTCTTATTTGAAGTGTTCTGTTGATGAACCTTTGATGATAAAGATTTTCAAGACCATCAGTGTCAATCTCAATAAAGCTCTGAAACACGTCACCATATCAGGTTTCTCAAGGTTCGCAATAATAATCGAATATAGGAATCCTTAAAGTATAAGAGAATCCTTAATGAAATAAGTCTTCAATAATATACAAATCGGAATTGAGTAGATATAACAGGAATCGGAATAGAGTGTGTATAATCGTTATGCAATAGATTTTGCTCAAAATAATACTCCGTTGTTAAATTCTCGCAGACACCTACAGAGGTAGAAACAAACAATTAAGTATAAAAAACATTGCTATGTGTCTGCAGCAGTGGCGAAACGTACTGGCCCGCAAAGCCCGCAATGCGGGCGGGTCCAGGTAAAAGAGGGCCTTTTTCTAGGATATATTTTTATTATTTAAGGTACTAGGACTACTTGTATTAGCCATACACTTTTATAAAGGGGGCCCGGATAATAATTTTGCGGGCGGGGCCAGCACTCATTTTGTCGCGCTACTGGTCTATACAATATGCTGTTAATTTTACTGTAATACATAGTAAGTAATCTACCTCAATTGTAAAAGCAATTGAGGTCGTTCCTATCGAGAGTGATGCAATCTGAATTTAAGCAAACATTTATATCACTAATTTCAACGCGCGCAGAAATGGAAAGAATACTGTCCAGCCTCCGGTCCATAGTTCAAAGAGGTTCAAAGAATCTATAGTTTCGTTAGATACCCAGGAACTCAAGAAAAATGCGAAACAATCTAATTAAATACTTGCTATTCACGTGTTACTTTACGTAACAGCAACTTTTTTGATAATCGTGGTATGGACAGAATTGTCGTACCGTATCACTTATTTCAGCATTCGTGAAGTATGTTGTTAAAATATTAAATTGATTAGAGTAATATACGAGAGCAACTTATTAGTTGCCTTTGAGCAGTGTTCGAGCTACATTTTGGAAAACCATTTGATGTGATTTTATTCAGCAGCTTTTTTCTGCCACAGATCACTATATTATTATTATTATTATTATTATTATTATTATTATTATTATTATTATTATTATTATTATTCGAGAACGCATGTGCGTCCCAAGCAGAATATTCTCTGAAGGTCATCGATCTGTTATCAGTCGCTGACATTTCAGCACTCCTCACATGCAAAGGAAGTTATCTCCCAATGGCACGTGAGGAACGCAGTCCCTACGCGAAACAACCACTTGGGCTCAAATGACGCCATCCACGGGTAGAGCCGTCCCCTGGCTGCACGGGCTACTATTCCTTTACTCATATGGCGCAACGACAGACGCGTCCGAGAAACGCTTCAGTATATGCTTTTATAGCATTCCAGCAACGATTTTTTTCGTCACAAGAAATCGTTCATAAAATAGCATCTTTTGGCGTATATTACCGTATTTGCCGTTTACGGCACGCATAATTGCGTCATCACACATTCAGCCAATTGCAGAAAGAGAATAGTGGGAAAGGGAATTGTGGCAACGAGAATTGAGTAAACTGAACAGCCAACCACCGTTTTTTCGCAAAGATGTCAAATATATTTATTGTATCTTCACAATGAAGTTGTTTCCAAAAATTAACATTGGTTAATTTATAATTTTTGTCGAGACAACTGTTATACAAAACAATAGCGAATGTAATTCGTTGATAATGTTGCTTTACTGAATACGTTCAAATTTGAAAACTCACACTAATGTCGCTCGTTTCCAAACATGAATTCATGCATTAAAGCTTAACATTAAAAACTAGTTGCATAATACACTGTTACTTCGATGGACATCCTGTAGATACTATAGTAAAGGAGAAAAATAATTGTAATAATCTCAACAATACGAATCCTTTAATTTGCGATCGTAAAATCCGTGTTTAACTATCTTTTTTAGCTCTAATTTCGCTCTCACCAAGTAAACCATATATACTCGTATTTTCTGAGAAGAAGATACACGCATTTTGTTTTACCCTAAATAGGGAAGTCTGTATGGATGAATGTTGTAAGGGTAAGTATGTATCACACACAACTCCGTCATATTTGAAGATTTTGCGCTGAAATACTTCAAGAGTACGATCTAGTTGTGCCGTTTGGGGGACCATTAAGATATCTTAATTTTGGGTTTAATTTACCTAAAACCTCTGTACCATTTACAAAATTTTTAAAACGCTCTGAAAGTTTGAAAATTACGAATTTAAATTGTTTTCAAAGCTGTCCTAAACCTTCAAGTTTAACACCGTCGATTTCTCTCTCGTTATTTATCTCTCAGTTTTAGATCTTTAAATGGCGTCTTGCACTTTTTACAGAATAGGAATCGTTGAATAGTATGATTAAGAGAATTTTCGGTAATCCGCGCATTCCTCTAATTTAGAAATGGGTAGCATAACGACTCTAGGAACATTAGCCACTGGGTCGGTAGTTGTTATTTCAGGCACGAAATTTGAAAAATAAGATTTGCAGGCACTTACTTCAAACTTGCAGAACATGGAGTTTTTCCCTTGTAGGGGTCAGGTGCAGAACTAAGATAATTTATTTATATTTCCCTTTTTTATGTTTAAATAATAATTAGGAAACATTAATTTTGATTTTGCAATAAACTGTCAAGTACCCGATCTTTTCATTTGTTTTTATGTTAAACACGTCAAGAGGATTAAATATCGATTGGCCACTACTGCGTCAAGTACCTGACCACAATCAAAATTTTACAATATGGTGCAAGATTGCAAGTGGCCACTACTGGGACAAAATCTGTTTTTGGAAATACTGTATTGAAAATTATAAAAATATAAAATTCTCTATTTGGAGCAAGAATTGTATTCAGAATAAGGAAAATGTTCTTAATTCTGACCCCTACCGGGGCTTTTACCCTCAACATTTATTTTATTCTTTCTTATTTAATTCTGTTTGAATACATTTTCATTAATTTTTAATGTGGTACATAAATGGTACATAAATACAAATGTTTTAAAACTTACTTAATATATTATTTTATTATATACCATTCCATTTTGTGAGTTGAATTTTCAATAAAGCTCAAAATAAGGGGGGAGGTAATCAGCCTCCCTTTCTCCTCTTTACTTGTTATCCCTCTAGGAACATTGGAATCGGCTTCAAATTATTTCTTTAAATTGTTGTTATTTAAAACTTTAACTTCTTATAACTTTATGACTTCGTTATTTAAAACTGTAAATTTGTTATTTAAAACATTAAAACTCTTGTGAACAAAGTCAGTTTGCGCGGACGAACAATAAGAATAAGAACATACGTACAATAAGGCCGGCGCGGTTACGGAATGTAAGTTTCAAAAAACTTAATCTGCTAAGGTTATTAGTCCCGTAAGTATAGTGCATGCATATATCGCAAAGGGTGGCTACGATATGTCCCTGCTGGTTGGCGAGATCCGGCTACTCGTCGGATAGCGGCGGTTTCTCCAACCAGGTATCTCTCCCCGAGAAAGCCACGCCTTAGCTGAGACAAGTTCTAGGCGTCCGGCTGGTCAACTGACATGCGTGGAAGTGTAGTGCATGTAAGTGTGTGAAAGAAAAGGGGGAGAATAGGATGTGGTTGGGGAAGGAATGGTCGCACGATGCCCGTTGTCCGTTTGTTAGGGTTGCCCTCCGGCGTTTGCCTGTTGTTGATCGGAGAAACCACGCAAAACTATCGATCAGAGCAGCCAGCCTCCAGAATTCTTCTCTAGTCAGCGGCAGAATTCAACTTATAATCTAGCTGGTGTCGAAAATTCTGCCACCTTCGGGACTCGAACCCTAGGACCTCCCGCTTAGAGGCACCGCAGTGACCTTAATTGATGCCCTGAACCACCTGAGCCGGTTGGTTAGCAAAAAATCAGTTGACCAATAAGAGATGAGTTTACAAAATCGCTTACAACACACATTTTTACTTACGTCCATTGATTAATTCGTTTGTTTGAAAACCATCTGATGTCGCAATATTAGTGTGAGTTAATTTAAAAAAATAACCAATTATCGGTTTTGAAGCGTAAAAAATTAATTTGATAACAAGTTATTTCTATTTTAGAATTGTAATTAAAATTACCAATTTTATTCTAAAATGTTACATATATTACCAAAAATGCATGAATCGTGATGATTTCGGCGGAGCCGCAGGACTTACCGAAGGCCAGAGCCAGCACGGCGAAGAGAACAATTGCGCGTCGCAGCATCTTGGCAGAAAGTGCGATTGCCACCTCCGTGCAAATGTTATATTACCTCGCACGTGTTCACCTATTCATTAACTTGGGGAGCAAACTTGACCATTGGTTCGTCATTTTGTCGATAACCTTGGGCCACTCTGCTGTTCAGATTGGTTATCGTTCGGTTTTCCCATCATACAGAGCAGCAAAGTGATGACTTGACTTCATCCAAGAAGTGACGTGTTAGCAATCAAGAAGTACTCGGTTTTGCAGTAGAATCTGTATGAATCGAAAAAGGCACTGGAAACAATATCCAATCATCTAACAAGCGAGATTGTCTCTAGACTGTAACACGTTACGCGAGAAAAAATTCTAAGATTGTATAGGTTACATTTAATACCTCTAAGACCAAGAATAAACCGAAGAAGTTCCTTCTACTCATAATTAGTGCTCCTTAATTTGTATTTTGAGGTAAATCTATACAGTTTTTGTGTCGCTGGTTTACATTTAGTGCACATTAAAAGATTGCGATGTAACATGTTAATACTGAGTTGTGTGTTGTAACTATTATGGAAATTTCAATGTGTAGTGCTCAATGTATGGATATAATATATAGTGCTCAAATCTTCCAGAACATGAGTTTCTAATATGGGTTGCAAATGAATAGTATGAATATAATTAAATAAAGGATAATGACATTTTCTTTAAATAGTTGGAATGCCAACAATAATTCACCAATCCCTGTATTGTGTTTGAGTAACTGCGACACTCCTCCTTCAGGCATGCCCGATCTGGTATCATTCAGCAACATCCCACATAAACAAGTTCTAAGTCTTTCAAAACAGAATCCTGCGCTTTGCAAACAAAGCTCCATGGTTTGTCAGAAACGCAACTCTCCATTCCGATTTCAACTTAAAACCAATAAAAGAGCATATAATTCAAACATTCCACAACTTCTTCTTCCACCTACCTAATAAATCAGGTTCATCCTTTTACAACCTCGTTATAGATAACCCTCCCTTCCTGAGAATAAAAACAGATATCCTCTTCAATCATTCTTAAACTGGTTTTCTACCTTTGAATAGAAATAAATAACTTCAGCATTTAATATCATTTCCTTGTGATTTCTGGAGGTGCTAGACGAGTTTCCCCACTCTGAACTTTTAGCTTAGAATAAGTCACCAATCATCTGTAGAGCTGAAAGGCTGAACGATGTAAATTCGGTCAAAATAAATTAATTAAAAAGAAAAATACAAATGGCCGCCCGTGCGTCCATCACTCACGGTTAGACAACTTCCCATGAACCTATTGAGACATATGAGGTGTTACTCGACGCGTCTCGGTTTCCTGACTGAGAACAGATAGTTTGTTTCCGCATCCGATCAGAAAATTCTAAGGAATTTACAAAACGTCTTTTTGCGTGTTTTGGCGCTGTGATCGTATTGGATAGATCGGGACTTAAACCAACGTCACCTAGATATATCTATTTTGGTGGCTTGATTAATCCTCAGTACCCAGAGGAAATTTTCACTCCACGACACTATAATTTTCTTCCATGAAGATACGTAGTAAGGCTGTGTGAGATACGTTACAGTACACATGGTCTCTCTTTAAAAACGAATTTATTTTATAGTTTTTCTGTAAAGATGTTAATGGCGTAGTTAACTTTAATTTCTATTTTACCCTTTTACGAATCACGAATGTTGAGTAATATCGCTTATTAGTAGCACACATGATACTTGATCATTCCATCCATACCACTCTTACATAAATACACCCATACAAAACTGATTGGGTATTCATGAGTAGCACGAAATTGTGTCTGCAAATAGCGATCTCAACACATGCAATTATAAGCATATCTAATTTAAAAGTCTTTTAGGCCTTTTAAATTTACAATATGGATATGTTATTCAAATTTGTTATGTGTATTAAAACAATCAAATAAAACCACATCAAAAATAATCACAAATAGAGAGAGAGAATAGAATTATTGTGACAGAAATATTTCTTAGCAGACTAAAGGAAATGACGTGCTCTCAACGAGCGGTAGTTCAAGACTAAAGTAGGTTAAGCAGAAAATGTTTAAATCAATACTGCGCGAGTAAATGCAAATAACGTTTGCAAATGCCAATGCAAATAACGCATCAGCAACCGAATTCAAATAACATTTTTAAATGTTTAAAAGGATAATGAAGAGGTGGCGAGCTGTAAATGGCTCTATTAAATTATGGAACGAAAAATAATATTATCTCCCGTTTTCTTCTGACAGTTCATTAGATTCAATCTTACTCTACGACACTATTGTGTCCAAATAACTATCAAAAATTATAATTATAGAAGAATACAGGAGACTTCGTATTAGTGTTTAGTTAATAACATTTTATTTCAGATTAGATACCATAAAACAGAAACAAATAATTAGCCCATCAATTTAGCAATTAGTAAAAGAAGTCCCTTTATATTAACCAAATGTAAAGGTTCCCCTACACTCAGCTTATCATCGCCTACTCAGTGCCTGCACCTTGAAGATAACGGCGAGAGTGTTATCATATGACAAAAATGTGATCACCCGGCAGGTGATCGTGTAAAACTCTCCACCAGAAATCACGTCTACCTACGCAGACGTAATTTCCCCGGAGGGTTGCAATATTCTCAGCGACAGCCTGATCCCTGTTTACATCCCCCTGTTTAGATATCCCTCATTACCGTAATGTTTTCATCTACTGTAGCCATCTTGTGTTGGCTAATGTGCACTTCATTCACCATAAGTCATAATGCAGCCGAAATATATTTTGTTGGCTACCGGACGTCTGCGAGCGAAATTGTCCGACTTATTTACTCCACAAACACTCGAATGTTGCACCCAAAATTAATATACTATTCTCACATTTCGACGGATAGTTTTTGATTTTTCAAAACACTTGCTCAAGACCATGTGCATGTACTGCAGACGGTCTTAGTATTATTGATGGCCGTATCATGCCAGCGGATTTCGGGTGAATAGGACCGACAGATCCAAACGAAACAAATATTCGCCGGTCCGGATGGCCGAGGTCGCTAAGGCAGTAGTACCATAGCGATCTCGGACCGAAGGATCGCGGGTTCGATAACCGCCTCGGGCATGGTTGTATTGTGTTCGTCCTTTCACCCCTATCATCATATCGTGTCATCCTCACACCATACCATACCGTTACAAGTAATAGTGGTCGCTAATGACCTTAAATAACATGATGTGACCTTAAATAACAAAAAAAACAACAGATATTCTTCTATTTATCATTTCGCGTCTGAACTGATTCGTCGCTTCGAACGAAAACGTCCGACGTCGACCGATCGAAATTTCGGCCAAAATCGGTTCCACTGTGACCGCCACCATGGAGGAAATAGATGGGTGCGCTCCTCCGGTGCACCCATTTTGCTCGTTCTGCTCAGCACAAGTTTGCGTCACGAAACACGTGACCCAACACGGGCACTTCGGTTGAAAAGCCGGACCAGACGTTGGCCGCCATGTTGCATGGAGAACGAGAAGTGCTGAGAAACGTTTAGTTTTCAAAGTGTCATAAAGTGACAATTTTCAATAGTAACCAACCAAAAATAGCAGGATGAAGAAATAAAAAATGCAATTTTATATTTTTAAAAAAAAGTACTTCATATATCAGTTTCAATGACGAAGTCATACTTTTGCCGTTTGAAATTCCCGCTAATGTTGTGACGCAAACTAATGCTTGAAGCTCATTGGCTGAAGACGGATTCGATGCGCAATATCTTATCCATCTTTCCATCATGACCTAGTCTTGCTAGAGAGGGCCAATTCACTACCTTAGTATACTTCGAACCTCTAGAGCGATTGCTCTCGAATTTATACTAAATTTTGTGATTCTAAATGTTGTACCAAAGTTGTGTAGTTGTTTCTATGTACACAATAACACAACAAATACACTAAATTTTTATGAATTTGACTTAAGGCTCCTACAGAGCGGCGCGTAAGACCCGCAATCTACGCGGAACGATCGCAGTGGAAATTTCGCATCTCGTGTTGCCTTATGAGCAAGTTTAGGAGCCTTATGAGCGGCAGGCGTGCGTCGCGATACCGTTTTCTTACCTGCGGATTTGGAAACGCAGTTGGACGCGTTTCAATCGCTGCCGCTCGAGTTTCGTGGAAGCCCTCCTGCCTTCGGGAGTCTTCGCTCCCCTTGCTTTTGTTTATCTGATGGGGAAAACTGTCACCAAATGCTGAGTCATAATTGACGCTCCGGTGTGAACGATCCCCCGGATTCCGCCGCCGCGTCTATCGCGGAGCGTTCCGCGCCGCTCTCACTGGGGATCTCCCGCGCCGGTCTGTGAGAGCCTTTATTGAAGTTAAGACCCAAGAAAACACAATAAATAAATGGCATAATGCTCAAATAAGAAAAATAACTTGTTATAGACCTTATTTTGCTTAATTGATATGAAAATTGCAAATTTGGAATGTTCCCGTGAATTTATAATTGCCATCACTCACTCATATTTCACCGTTACGTATCGCTTTCTTTTAGAAACACTATTTGCTTCTTGAGTAGCAGTTTTACCAGCGATAATATGTTTAACTCACATCGACTAAATCCTCGAAATATAATTTTTTGATATTATGAAATATTCAAAATAACTTCTGTCAGTGGAGGCAAATAACATAAAAGTTCCGTTTCTTCAACATAATTCACTGTTATTTTCCAAATAACCCTCAAATACACCATAATCATTTTCATATATTTCTCGGGATTTTACTGGAAATCACTGTGTAGCTTTGTTACCTTTCGCGAGATTTTCAGCCAGAACTTTACAATATTCTTTCATTTCGTACGAATAATCAATCCAACAATTATTATGCAATGGTAATTAGATACACTGGTTTGATAATCTGAAGTCATATTGACAAATTATTATTATACGTTTTTATACTCCCCAAAAATATATAAACGTTTCTAATTCTCAATTGATTAAGCAACGAACTGGTAAACCATTAAGTTTTGTATGCACCATGAGCGTTACTTGATGTTTTTGCCCCTCAGGCGATTTCCAAGCCCTTGGGCCCGAGACCCTCGGAGAAAACACATCTACTTAAACGTCCTAGGTACATACTATTGGATGCCCTGAATTCCATTATCCTTATGGCAATTCTATATAACATTTAATTTCCAGCTTATGCATTCTCCCCAGATGATGTGTTCGTTTTACGGATTCTTTCCCCATTTTAGATATACTACAGAATCATTTAATTTGAACACAATGATAATGTTTTCTTAAGCAAATTATTTCTGTTAATATATTATTTATCTTCATGGTTTTTGTATTCATCTGTTTGTTTTACACCTTGCAACTATCACATACAAATTTGTCTTAGAATACATACATAAATTACATTTTTTTTAAAAAAAACATTCTCTTGCCACTGTACTATGCATTAAATGAAACAAATTAACTACATTCCTTCATTCATATATAGCTTTAAAACAGTATTGCCACAGAGTATGCAATAAAATTATTAAGCCAATTTTATGATTGCAGAAGTAGCTATGCCCATCAGAGAGAAATGTTGATTCAACACATGTGTTAACATGCACGGCTTATTGCAGTGGTCTTCTGCAAATAAATTTTTCCAACAATTCTGCTTTTGAATACTTGCAATTTAAGAAGATAATTCATTTTGTTACAAACAAAACAATTGTGAGGTAGTTTTTTCTTCTTTCATTGAAAAACTGCCAATGCAAATTATGCCTTTTCATATTGTGATTTTTAGAGTTTGTTTTAAACATTGCAAGGTTCAACTTAAGCATTTAGATAGGTACAAAGTTTGTAACAAATGTCGTTCTTTGAATTCTTTACAATCGAGGATGGGGAAAAAACATGACTGACCCTACACTTCAAGAGCATTGCACCCTTTGTTTACAAACATCCTTTACTCGAGTGTGGTTATGAGACCAATTGTAGTCTTCTACAAACTAGATTAAATGAGTCAATAAACACATAACTTTTTTTGTGCATCTCATACTATACAACAAATTTGATTAAGGATATTTGATCCCTTTAGATAAATGTTTACCTTATTTGTTACAAGGCAAAATGTTAAAACTCAAAAAAATATTTTGTGGTATAAACAATGTTGGTATACCATCAATTTGTAAATTTTCTCCTTACCTCAAGCTCAGATATATTTTAAAAAATTGAAGTCAGTGATGCTGCCACTTTTTCCAAAATTATTCATGTTTATTTATACATACAAATACACAGTACAATGTGCTGAAGGAACTGAACACCTTCCTTGCCAATAGTTGCAACCATGTTTCTCAAAATAATCCACTTTCTCACAAATTCATCGACAGTCGGACACCATAATAATGTCAATCACATTTAAAAAAATCAATACACATCATCCATGTACAGGGTTGTGAACTTTAAGCAAAGACCACTGTCACTTACATTATCCTTCCCCCTTTTGAGCAGCTTTGATTAATAGTAGTCATTTAATACAGATCAATCAAAAATAATTTAAAGAATTAAGACGCACTCACACTTTATAACTTTTCTTTACTTTTCTTGAGGAGGGAAATTTATTTTGCTACAAGGTCAGTACACTCACAAAATCTTTATTAATGTAAATTTTGAATAGGCCCAACATGATAAGAACATAACACAACTGAATAATAAGTACGTGGGGTATAGTATTTTTGTATGCAGTACACAGAGGTCTTTTCATGAAAGGTAATAAAATTCCACCTGTAGTGTTTATCCCAATACATTAAGACAGTGTTCCAAAGATACTGTGAGCTGTCTGATCAACCATGGATAACACAAGCAAGGACAAAAAACCATTGATATTGATTAATCGTATCTGAATTAAAGACAAAACCAGATGATCCAAAATTTGTTTTCAAAAATCTTTAAGAATACTATATTAACTTCGTATCTTAGTTAATCTGATTTAAGAAACATATCAGTACATGAAGTCTTTCCTTAAAGTGCAATGCAGAACATGAAAATTATGTGTAAGCAAGTTACATTTTCTATAGAAATTATTCTCACAACACAGTTGATATGACATTCATTTTATAATATAGCAAACATTTCTTGCCAAAATGTATTAAAAATATTGCATTTAAAAACTGAAACAGAAAAACCAATGAAAAACTATTTTAACCGCGGTTGAGGTGCATAACCAATCCGATCATGAACAACAGCCTGCGGCAACTTGGAGGCTCCTGGAGCCCATGCTTCACCCAAAACACTATTGTTTTGCTGTTGCTCTTTTCTTGCTTCTTGCTCTCGCCTCATGTTTTCATACTCTTGCAGATCATCCAATTTTACTTCAATTCGGGTAGGACTTCTCCTTATCATTTTTGTGCTGTAAATAATGAAAATTACGGAACCGAAGCGGAATTATAAATTAACAGACCAGTTGTTGATGATAATTTATACATTACTAACATGCAATTAATCTGTCTTAAAAAATATCATTTATTGAACTGACACTCACAAAAATGAGGTGTAAATTCAAGGATCAGATGACTCCGTCTACTGAGAATTGTTATGTTATGTTTTGTTATGATATAACTGGATGTTAACTGTAAACTGTATCTGCTGAACAGAATTAATTTGCCACTAGTCTTCTATCTGTTCTAACCTAAGCCTTCTCCAGTAGCCTTCGGATTTTAGATTTTAGATGTTTTATTCGTCACTTGTTTCCCCTATCGTCTTGACCACTCCTGACTTAGATGACTGGCGGGAACCGCCAGGAACCGCGCCGAAACGAGAGAAGTGCGCACTTATATTCTTTGAGTGCGCAGAGATCGCATGTTGGCAACAAGTGATCAAAACAAACAACGAGCAGTCAACACTCGACGGACGTTTTCGGAAGAGTTGTGGCCAGCCTGTAATGCTGACTGCACGAAGTTGAAAATAAGGACCGTATCAAGCTAAGGAATCAAATCTTGACATAAAAGTTTATCAAATATGTATAAAAATGTCAGACCATTACTCAACAATTGACGAAAATAGAGTTTTCCTATCAACTTGTGTGATATTAACCTATCTGTGATATCTTCGTACTTTGACGATAATGCGGTGTACTGATTTTAAACTTTTTACATTAAAATATAATTGATCGAGTGTTTGTGCGTGTGTTTCCGGCCTTATTAATTTTATTTTAACTCGAAACAATGTTGTACTTAGAAGATTATCTTGAAAGTAAGTACTTAAGTCATAGTGTCGGTAATTCTTATAGGTTATGTTTGGATTGTTTAGATTTTGTGCATGTCCATTCTGTATATGAGAGTCATGCAAATTGCACAGAACTTACGTACCTTTAGAACTTGAAAAACAGATCTAGGTTGAACAATGTTAATTTACGCCTTGCAACATGTACTTTTACTAATACAACATTAACCAAGTTAGGTTATATTTCCATGTGTGTGTTTATTCGCTTATATTTTGGTTTGCATTTGCAGTGATCGAGCACCTTCCTCAGGCGCTGAGAGATAGGTTTACAGAAATGAGAGAAATGGATCTTTCGGTTCAAAGTATGCAAATTTCTACTCTGTTACAATCATTCAACTTTTATGTTTGTTTATATATATTTTAGTAGAAGTATTACAATAATTATAACAACTATTTATTTTGTTTCAGATTCAATGGACAGCTTGGAAAAAAGGGTAAAAACGTTTTTTGCTAATGCCAAGAAAATGAAACCTGTTGAGAAAGAGGCTGAATATGAATCTATACGTAAAGATTACTACAAAACATTAGAAGATGCAGGTACAGAATGTTAAAATATTACTCTTTTAAAAGTTTTTGAGAATCTGGAATACATGTCATTTGTTTTTCAGATGAGAAAGTACATCTTGCGAATCAAACATATGATTTAGTTGATCGTTACTTGCGGCGTTTGGATCAAGAACTTCATAAATTTAAAATTGAACTGGAGGCTAACAATAAGGGAATAACAGATGTACTTCAAAAGCGTATGTTCACGTTTTGATTTTTGTCTTTATGTTTGCATATTTTAATATGTATGTATTGCAACATTACTCATTTTTATTTCCCTTGTAGGTTCTTTGGAGCTTGACCAGCCTCAGGCTAATAGTAGTCAGAAAGAAAATAGGTTTAACTTCAATTCTACAAGAGCATCACATCATGGTAATGTCAATTTGACCATGCTTTTGGACTTCTGTCAAAACTCAAAACTTACAAATCAAAAGGATAATATGACAGTGATATGTAATAAGTTCTGATTTCTTCTTCATTCTGTTGTTTGCTTTATCTTTTTTTTATTTTGTGGTTGAAATAAGGGCAAAGCGACCAGGCAAATGCTTGAGCAGTATCCTAACAAATGGGCTACATACCGCATGTGATCTTTCCTACATCTTTTGCATTCTCTCCTCACCCCTGACACAAACACTAAGATGCACTTCACTACAACACATAACATGGATAACTCCTAGTTTTGAGATTAGAGCTTGTCCCAGCTTGGACAATGCCCCACTGGTAGGTGGTACCTGTTTGGGGAAACGCCCGCTAGCCAATATTAGGTCAGCGCCAGCTCTTGCCACCTCTTGAGTGGTGGGGAACACCATTGCTGCAACCTGAGAAAAAGCATGCACTACGCTTAAAGGACTAATGGCCTAATAGTTGATGTGCCCAGAATCAATAACAATCAATCAATTTACTGATGTGGGTAAAACTAGCAAGTATTTGTAGTATATGGGTTTCCTTGTAGACATTGGGTGTTTCGAAATTCTATGAAGTGAACTTAATAATTTTGATTTTTCATTCTCTTAATAAGTGGCAATTTAGAAAATGAGAATTTTAATAAGATGAATTGATGCAGTGCAATGCATTGCAGAGTCTATTCTTCGATATTTTGATTATTGTTTATTGTGCTCAGAAATGGGAAGAAATAATTTTGTGGCTGACTGTTTTTAAAATACATTTATCATTATCATCATCGTGATCAGCAGGATAGTAGGTCTGGTGCCTGTTTCTGTTAAGACAGATCTCGATATGTTGTTGGGTCTTCCTACACTTCTTCGCCCTCTGGGTTTATACTTTAAAACTGCTATAGGAATTCTTCTCACTTGCATTCTTCGCACATGTGAAAGCCGTCTCCTCTGATTCTCTTCAACGTCATCCACTATATTTTTTGCGTTTAGATTTTTTCTGATTTGAGTGTTTCTTTGTCGATCTAAATGTGTAATTCCTACCAGATACTGGAAAAGTCTCATTTCTGTGGCTTCTAATCTAACAATCATTTGTTTTGGGGTCCATATATCCACCAAGTTCTCACACTTAATTGCAGAATTATTAATAAATCTAATCTAATCTAAATCTATTTCTAATCCATACATTAACATTGGCTTAGATGGTATGTAGTGTATTCTTGGTTTTGTTTGTACTGTCGTATCTCGTCCAAAGTTTTTCTTGGTTATTCCATTTATCCTATTATATTTTTGATTTTTTCTTTCTTGATCTTCTGAATTTGTTCCAATGAAGTTTTCTAGATGTATAAATTTTGCTCTTTGTTCATTATTTTTTTTTATGTATAACAATGTTAACCCTCCTCATTTCTTTGCTTTGGAATGCCACAGCGTTAGTTGTATGTTAGGGCTATTTTACACCTTTTTTCAAATATAGATAAAAAATAACTTGCCTATAGAAATTCCAGAATACTTATAGTTTCTCATTCACCTTGTGGGTGACCAAAATACCTCTTTGTGTGGTTACTGTATGTTGACAGGACTTTTTGTAATGGAACTGCCTTATTACAGAAAAGCGACGTGATTCGAATTCATCAGCTGTGGGTGCAGAGAAGCGGCTGGCTGTGGAGAAGGCGTGCTCATCGCTCCCAGAACCCCGACCAGCTGCCGCCACCGTGACATCCGGCAGTGTTTCAAACCCCACGGCCTTGTCACCAGCGGCGGTGACACCTTCTAATGTCAACTACAACTTAGCGCACATTGGGGCAGGGGGCAATGCCATTGCTGCAGCAGCTTCGCAGGCCATTGCAGCCACACAACAGGTAAACTTATCAGCTTCCTGGAGAATGAAGTGGGGGAAAGTATATGTAATTGTCGTTCGGCCCAGGAATGATTGTGATGTAATCAAATCAGCACTGTTGCTCCATAGACCAAAGCCACTTGCCTCGTTTAGCAATTGTGTCCAGCCTCCTTCTTTAAAGGCATATATAGTAATAAACTCTCGGAATTGCCTGCTGCAACACCAGCACACTGTGATGAGTAGAGTACAGAAGAATGTGTTGTATGAAATGGCAAAATATCTTCATAAATGTGTAATAAAAAGGCTAAGAATATGTAGAAGGAGTTTTAATATGTAAAATCAAATTAATTGAACATTTACAGCCAAACGAAATAAATTTTCACAATTTGAAATTACATTAATAAAATATTTATTAAACTATTTTTCAAAGTTGATATGGCATCCTCACTGCCACTTTCCACACCTAACGATAATATTCTCGGTGTGCAGACACATTTGTCGCAACAATTAGGGGGGTGGGGGGCATGGAAGTTTACCCAAACAGACAGGATGCATCTCACTGTGCCTTCATGTGGGGAACTACACATTTTCATTGTGCAATTTTGAATTTGGGTAAGACAAAATATGTCAAACTTTTAATTAAAAACTATTATTGAAAATTAAATATTTTTGCAAAATAAACTTTTGCTTGTTGCATTTTGCTGAGAGTTACCTGGTAGTGCTCATAGTCAAGGTTCACAATAACCATTTTCAGGATTCAGCAATTGTCACACTATTTCTATATGCCTTCTTGTATTTTCAAACTTTCGTATAAAAAGTTAAATGTATGATTTTTACTGAAGCTGTATCCAGCAATGAAACATTGTATGCACACTGTGAAATTAAGTAACCAGTAAGAGGGTGTTTTGAACGCTTACATTTGTTTACTTCAGGATCATTCTTAGCGTAGACGGCAAGTTGATCAATTCTGAAAGTGTATGTTTTTCTAAATGATGAAGTAGGAACTTCAAAATTCAATTATTCTTGCAGCAAAGGACAGTCTATTTGATTATTTATCAATTTATATAAAAAACAGTATATGAGAGATCTCTAGAAGACTTGAGCAAAGGCAGATTTAAGACAGCAGAGATTTGACTTTAAGATCTCCAAGGGACTTGGAGACCAAGACATTTTGTTGGTATTCAAAAAAATAGGTTGAACAGTCTCTAGTTTTTTAATGTGTTTGAAAGAAGATCTTGCCATTTAGTAAGTGTCAAAAATTCAACTGTCAAGACTTAAACCATAGGACCTCCCGTTCAGAGTTGCTGCAGAGATAGAGGCAATGGCTCAGAGCTAAATCAGCTGATGGAATTTCTAATTCCTTCTCTCTCCTTATGTCACAGCCAAAGTCTGAAATATGGCTAACGTTTATAACTTGTAACTGTAAAAATTTTGTATGAATTTATGATATTGTATTAGGCCTGTAATGTTTGCCCGCAATGAATGAAATAAAGAGAAATGATAAGAGTCATTGGTTAATTAGTACATTAGTCAGATGGTGTGATATCTGGAGCCTTTTTGCCAACTTGAAAACACGTTGCAAAGCATCATGAGAAATAGTGAGGTTAGGTTGGTGGTATCATGTTAATAGGACTTTGCAACTGACACAGTGCAACTTTCTCTATAGCGTTAGAAACTTCCCACCAGCATCTGCCTCCTTCAGAAAATCCATTTGATCATTTGATTTGAGCAAGAATTATTAATGGAATTCCTTGCCAAAGGCAAACTTGATTTATTGTTCTGAGAACCCCACTTTTTTTGTTTACAATTTATTACAATATTCCTTTTATTTTATCATTACTGTTGTTTTCATGAGGTTTTGTTGTTTTGTGTGTATTTTAGATGCAACAGGTCGTTAGAAAACAGCCAGTCTGAAAGCTTCTTATGAAGCCATTAACATTGGAGCACATGCAGAGTTCAGCATAGGCAAGAATTAGCAGGGGCTGCTATTGCAGCCATTCAGGAAACAAACGAAAAAGCAAAAGAAGTATGTATACATTAATGCTTTCTCTGATAAGAAACTACTTTGCTACAACAGTACATAATTTATCATGTCAGTAATGGTTATGTAAAATTATAATATGTATTTTCATCCATATTAAAGCACTAGCTGCCACTATGAAATTAATTACCATTAGTAAAATATTAAGCATGAAAAATCGATTTGTTTAAGGGTAATCACACTAATTGGAGAATGCATATCTCGTTTAAATCCACCGAAAACACCACCCAATATGGACAAGTTATTCTGAGAAAATTAAATTGCCATATCATGGCGTCCTTGATGCATTGCAATGTGGTAAACTCCTGAAAGATAATACCAAAAAATTGGAGAAAATTGTCAGAGGTACATGGAACTATTAGCTATTAAACACTTTAAAATATCTTAAAATAAGAGTTAATAATTGTCAACAAAATATTTCTCATTCAGTAAAACCTGCCTAAGGTGGAGACTGTTGTTTCCTTCAAAACATGTTTGTGTTGGCAGGTTTCCATCTTTTTAGAGGCGGTGACAAAAATTCACTATATAACTTAAGTTTTAACCATTCATTTTGATTTTCAGGTATAATTTCATAAAATGTCGTAAATTTTGGATTTTACTCACTTTGAATTTTGGCAACTTTTGTCTTTTGCAGAACATTTTTTCTTCTTGTTTTCTTCGATCATTTTTGTTTTTGTATGTAGAGGTAGGGTTTTACACAAACATTTCAAAGACATTTTGACATACTAGTACACAGCTTTCTTATACTGGGTGCAGTCACTAAATTGTGGTGTATACTTTCCCGGAATTCCATTGTCGACTGAAGAACACATGGTGATTCTTTTGAGAATTGAACAGAGGCAGATGACCAACATTTGGTGTGACAGCAACATAGTCACATTTGTTGCAACCATAAAAATTACACCAAAGCTTGAGAAAGACACAGCGAGTTTGTCGCTGTGTTTGCCAAAGATTCCTCAGCAGCCGGCATAAGAGGAATAACTCGCCATTCACTGCATTTTCTCACGACGTGACCCCTTGCCACTATTCCATTACAAAGATATTGCCAGAAGTTTAATAATATATTTCCTTCTTAATAATTACTTTACATTCTCTAAAACCAGTTTTGTTTCTGCGTTAGAGAGGTTTCTGGCTTGTAGAGGTAATTTTAATGTATAAAATTGTTCTGTTCTGAGATTTTTTTCTCCAGTTGGCTGGTTTCCATTTTACTGAGGTTCCGTCTTAGGTTTTTCTGCACACTCCTTGGTAAAATTAAGACTCGGCAGTGTATCTACTCATGACTATCTATCAGGTGGAAATCATTGCCATCTATGGCTTTATTCTAACATAATTTCCTTCAACACAGAGTCTGTTTTCATTTAATTATAAATTACACTGCAAGTTAAACTGATAACCTTAACCTAACTTATGTTGTACAAAAATCACCCAATTATTTGTAGGCTTTCCTATCATAAAGTTATTACCCATCCTCGACTGAAAATAATATCCGTACCATCCTAATCAGTTGCTGATGAGAGGGTGATCATTTCAATGTTCATGCAGAACCCTGACTTCCAATGATGCTTTTACGTTTTCTGTAGATCATGTCCCAGGGCGATGCTTCACAAAAAGAACAGCGCTACAACATCAAGCATGGAATCCTATACTTGTTGATAGGTTGTACTGGCAATGTGTATTCGTTGGCTTTGAACGTTTTGTATTTTACAATCCCATTGTAATTACGCTTTATACCAATTTTCCTATACAAAATACAGAGGGGTTTCATGACATATCACATTGCATTAAACTACTAATGTTTTCAAAAAGGTGATAATGACCTTTTTTAATGAACTGATCATGTAAACAGATTCCATTTAACAAAAAAATTTGTCATCAATAATGTACATACACAATTTTCAATTTTTTAAAATTAATAGAGGGCAAAGAAAAGCCTACATATCCAACTTTTTCTGGGGTACCTCAGGGCTCACAGACCAAACTGTAATGCTGAAAGTGAGGAGGGAAGTTATGACTACCAATTTATTAACACCAGTGTAACAATAATTATTATTTAACGAAAGTTGGCTCAGAGAGATATCTCGTGAAACATTACCGCCAAGCTCTTCATTATTTATATCAATAATAATATGTTGTTGTTATTGTTATTATTATTTTAATTATTGAATCTGATTATTAAGCAAATAAGAAAGCCATAATAAAATTATTAAAAATACCAACAAAACATAAATCAGTAAATTAATAGTTTTTGAAAATCATTAATAAAAAATAACAAAATATAATTTCCTTAAAAAGAACTGACCGTGGAGTAAATGCTTAAAGTGACCATCATTTGCCAAGAGACAGGCAATTACTCTTTTCAGTGTAGTGGCTGCAGTATGTTGAAGACTAACAAGGACAGAATAAGTGCTTTCTCTTTCTTCCAACTACTATTCGCTACATTCTCTCTCTCCGAAATCTGAGGGCACATGGCCATGAATTGCTAAAAGTGCAAGGGATGCCAAAAGTATTTTATGCGTTACCAAATTGCCCAAAAAAAAAGGAAGTGTTTCCAGACAGAGGTTGCGACTTAAGCTAAAGATCATGTATCTTATGCCCTC